TTCTCTGCACCAGCTCCGTGACCGTGAGGATCCCTTCGCCAGCTCTGACCTGAGACACACTTTCTGACCATTGATGCAAATAATCCATAATCAATCTATAAATCAAAATTGGGGTGAGTTTATTACAACCCAGATCTGAGGACTAGCCTGGGTCCTTCCTGCCCTGAGGAAGAAAGGGCACCAAAGAAGTGGGGTATCCAGAGTGGTTATATACAGACTTGAAACAAAGAGCGTACATCATATACGATAGAATGTCCATTTTACAATTGCCATGAGATGCTTAGCTGGCACAGCAGAACAGTGGTCAGCAGGTCGGTGGTCACAAGGTGAGCACAGCAGGTCAGTAATTAATCCTTAGTTTAGGGAGAGATGCTTATCCTAAAGGGAATGCCAGTATCGGGGGGAAGTTACATCCCTATCTTTAAGGGCATCATTCTCATCTTCGGGACATAGTAAATATTTAAAGCAGATGTACAACGCGTGCTCAATAGGCACTTTTTGAAAAACAAGCTCAGGCCGGATTAGTATTAACCTAAATGGCTTCCTCATATCCTCCAATATATCCCATTGCTTGTCTTTTATTTATCATGACAAATGCAGGGGCAGATGGAGCAGAGGAAGAAGTGCATCATGATGAATCTCTCACAAAGCTTGGGCCCTCCAGGTGGACTGAGGAGGTGGGGCTGGAGTGGATCTTTCCCATGGTATCTTTCACTGCCCCCTGTGCCCAGCTGGGCCACACTGAGCCACAAGGCCTTCCCCAGCGCCCCTGGCTCTGGCTGGGCCATTGCATACTGTTTTCTCCACCAAGAAATTTGGAGACCATTTTTTGAAAACACATGAGACAGGTTCCAGGTGATCTCTACTCTAACTTGGCTTCTGTTCTTATTTCTTGGTGGTGGTGTGTGGAGACACAAGCATCGTGCAGTCGACACCGCCAAGAAAACAAGCTTGAAGGGCTCTGGGTTGGTGGGCTAAAAACTGCTCTGTGTGACAGGAGACTTGCTCCTCACTCCTGTTGTCACCTCGGGGCAGTCCCTTCCCCTCTCTGGGCTTCTGTTTCTCCACCATTATGCTAATAGATTGGCCCAGATCACTGGTTCTCCAAGTGGGGTCCCTTGGGCTGGCAGCATCAGCATCACCTGGAACTCATTAGAAATGCAAATTCTCAGGCTGCATGCTGGACCTATTGACGCAGACATTCAGGGCCTGGAGCACAGCAATCTGTGTTTTACTGAGCCCTCTGCGGGTGGGGGATGGAGGGGTATTGTAATTTAACCTAAAGTTTGAGAACCACTGGTTTAGGTGAATTTTCAGTTATCCCTTGGCTCTAACAGTCTGTGATTCTCTGCTCTTATCTGTGAAGAGGACAGATTGCACCCATTACGGGTGACATCTGGGATGATGATGGGCGAGGGCCCTGCCTCTCACAATGAAAATGGAATTCAAATAGGTGGCTATAAAAATTCCTTTCAAGGCATCACCTATTATCGTGTTACTTGAATTCCATTTGCTAATTTATTGAAGCAAAAGCTGAAAGAAGACCCGTGGGAAGGGCCTGAGGCCCGCAGTGAGCGCATTCAGCACTGTTCTGGGTTGTCCCTGAAAGGCCCCTGACGAGGCTCCCTGTGGCAGCACCTGGAGAGGCAGGCTGACAGACGCTTTGTGCATCTCAGAGGGGACACTGTTTCTCCCACTGGTTCCTGACACAATTGGGCAAGTGTGCGCCGGCCCGTCCGGCCTCCAGCTGCAGCTGTGTGCCCCGCGCTCCTGGAAGTGAGCCTGCAGCCCGAGAAGGGGCAATCTGTTTGCGTGGGAGCCATCCCCGGCTCTTGTTGACAGGTTTGTCGTTGACTCATGGAAAGTTCTGCTTCCCGGAGCTGGCCTGTGGCTGAGCCAGGAGACGGTTTTCTCAGGGCCTAGCACATAGTAGGTGTGGTGACCATCACATGTTGAGTCATTTCTTAAAATTGCTTTGGGGCTCAAATAGAATCCTGGAATCAATTTTCAGCAGCTACTTGGCGCCCTGGCGCTGTAGGAGGAGCATGTTATATCGGACTCCTGTTCTCCCAAGTGCCTGCCTGATAGACGAGTGGTGGGAGGAAATTACATTTTGCTGGGTGGCACGCTTGATGGTTTCACATCTAGACATTGCCTTACACACACCACAGGATTGCTAGGTGGGGATTGTTTCTAATTTCCAGATGAAAACTCTAGGGCCCAGAAAATAAATGGCCTGACCGAAGTCACACAAGAAGAAAGTCTAGAGCCAAGATATTAAATTTAGTTTCATTTATTGAGTACTTACTATGCAGCCAAATAATGCACTCATTATATAATGGCTTTCTGTTTCTAATTATTCAGTTTATCTAGTTATTATATCTACTTATTCTATCTATTTAATTACTCTAATCTTCATAGCAATGCTTCAAATAAATATTATTTTCACCATTTGACAGACAGCGAAACTGAGGCTCAAGTGGGTAAATAAACTGACTCTCGGTCACAGGGCTAGGAAGTGGCTAGGCTTGAATTGTACCCCAATCCGTGTTTAGATGGATGGAAAACATCACAGCCTGTTCAGCCAGACTCCCATGGGGTATGGACTTGGTGGTGGCTTGGAAGAATCCTGCTTCCCATCTGTGGTTTTGGTTCTGAATTTTCACCATCAGCAATTTTTAGGATTCTATTCCCTTCAGCCCCCAAACCCAAGTGATTAGTTTTCTCTGAGAGAGTGGGTGTCCTGCACTGGCGAGCGTGAACTTTACATGATGAGACATTTTGTGAGGCGTTGATATTATTACAAGCCTGTGTGATGAGCCTTGAGTTCATCATAAAGATTTTCCTTCGGACAGAGGCGCCCCGAGAAGGATGAGAACCACTGGCCCTTGAGCAGGAGGTGGGGCATCTAACCAGAGAGCATTCCAGAAAGAAAGTGTGAAGTGGGTGACAAAGACAAGCTTCACTACATTTGGCTCACACAGTCTCCATCTTGGGGATGAAGAAATGAGCCCAGAGATGTTGCGGGAGAGATTTGGTTAAATTGAAGTCATTTATTCAGTGAGTCATTGACTCCAGTGACAAGCTTATTCTGAGCATCTTCTCTGTGCCAAGGCCTGTACTTCCACAGAGGAAGACAGAGATAAGACTGGATCTCCACCTGCAAGAAACACACAGTCAAGCAGCAGAGACACAGCAGCACACAGATAAACTATAATAAGGTGTAATGCAACAGGACGAGGACTGTAATTTTGGCCAACTACCCAATTTTCACAGATACAAGAAGAACAGTGAAGAAAACGCCCTTCCTGACTTTAGAATCAACAAGGAGCATGCGGTCTGCAGGTTACAACGCCCATTCACACATCAGCCATGAGCATTTAGTTCACGGCTAGTGAGTGGATAAACACCACCCTGTGAAGACACATTTCGCAGATGTGTCCAAGATCGCACAGCCTGTGAGTGGCAGAGCTGAGATTTGAACCTGATATCTGAGAGTTGAAGCCTCGTGTGGTTTCCAGCATCAGGTTAGGTGAGCGAGGCCAGAGCTGGGACAGTGGAAGTCTGTTTCCTCAGGATGGGAAGGCTGGGGAAGGTTGGGGAAGGCTGGGATGATGTCATTCCAAAACGCATCCCCTCAGAAGCCTGAGAGTTTCACACCAGCACCGAGAGCAGGAGGCAGAGTTACAGAGGCCACAAAAAGTCTTCTCCACTGGACCAAGTGTGTGGCTTTTCAACCCCACTTCAGGGGAAGGGCAAGGAGAGGTGCTGTATCAGTGAGAGAAGGGAGCTGCAGAGCCTCAGGGGGGCCAGCTCACAGCAGAGGCCAGGGAGGCAAGGGCAGGGAGGGGAAGAGGGATGAACACTTACTGAACCCTGATTGGGCGCCAAGTGTTTTACTCGTGACCTCACGCACCTGCACATGCAACGATGACCTAGACTCCCGATCTTGCTTAGGGAGGAAGGGAAGTGGCTTGCTCAAGCCTGCCCTGTTAAGAAGCATCAGAGGTGGGTTTTGAACCCTGGTCCGCCTGACTCCAAACCCAGCTCTCTTTCTGCTTCCCCACACCGTCTTACCCGCTGTTGTGTATGATGCTTGCAATGGTGTCCGTCTCAGCTGTCCCGCGCCTGGCCGTGACCTTTACATGTGGTGATACGCAGCAAATCACATGCTGTCGACACATGTTAGCATTAGCGTTAGCATCTTACAACCATCTAGTGGGGTAAACTGGTATCTATTGATCCAAGAGGCTTGATGCAAGAGGCTCAAAAGGGAAATATAAACATAAAGGTGTAGCACCAGCTTGGAAGAAGTACTTCATTCTGGAGAGACGGGAAAAAGGAAGCCGGCAATCCAGGATGGGGGCGGGGATAAGCGAAGCCTAAAGGCGGGGGGGTGCAGGGGCTGAGGGGGTGGAAACAAACAAGAAGAAAAGCTTTGTCCTGTTTTTTGAGGGCAAGAAGCAGGGACCCCTGCAAGGATAAGGGTCTTTGGTTCAGAGGGTCTGCCCTCCATGCTGAGAGGGAATGCTTTCCAGGGAGATGGCTGGAGGTGCGCTTCTGGAGCATCTCAGGGGGCTGCAACCAGAACTGAAGTCCTCCTCAGACTCCTGCTCTGAATGGCCTGAGCCGTTGGAGGCTGGAACATTCTGAGAGCTGGCCAGGTGGCATTTGTCCAGGATGATGCTGTGGGAGTGCTTAGCTCCCGATGCTTCCTTTCATGTCTCCTTGTGACACCTCTGCTCAGCTGTGGCTCCCCCATCCATTTGCACTGCACCAGTGATGGGAGACAAGGTCCCTGCCACCTTGGCATTGCCCTCGTAGGTGGCAGTACAGACAGCAACAATGTAAGCAAGAGAAGGCTCTGAAAGAAGCTATCTGGAGGGGAGACAGAATTACCGCAGGGGCTGGTTCGGGGAGGCGGGCTGCTTTCCATGGGTGATGGGGTAAGGTCCGTGTTCAAGTTGAGCATGGAGGATGAGAATGATTCATCCATGAGATGAGCTGGGGAGAGGCAAAGGGAACAGCAAGTACAGAGACCTGGGGTTGGAAAGGACCAGGTGTGTGCAGAGTAGTGAAAGAAAGCCAGTGTGACAGCAATGGAGGGGAGTGACGTGACAGGAGATGAGGGAAAAAGGCAGGTAGCGGATTCCTCAGGGCCTTCCTAAGCCGTGGTGATGAAGTGGACTTTATTTTAAGAGCATGGGGAAGTCACTGAGGTATTTTGAGGAAGGGGGGAAGTTGTGGGAGGAATAAGTAGCAGAGAGGCCATGGTGGACTCGGGGATCAGCTGGACACTGTCGCTGAAGTCCAGAAGACTTGCTCCAAGGAAGGGACAAGGGAGACAGCGAGCAACAGGTGGATGTAGGCGATATTTTGGAGGTGGAACCAGGGGGACTTTTTGACTGTTTAGCTGTGAGGCTTAAAGGAAAGGGAGAAATCAAGGGTGTTTCCTGTGTTTGGGGTTAAACTAGCAAGATGGTGATGGCAGATAAGCTGACAGAGAAGACCAAGGAGGAGCCCATCTAAGTCCATTTTGGACACGTTAAATTTAAGGTTCCCAGTGGGTGGTTGGATATGCGGTCCATTGGACTTGGCACCTTGCAAGTCCTTAGAATCCCGACAAGAGTGGCCCCAGAGGAATGGGAGCGAGGAAGAGGAAGCGAATGTGGATGGCCACCTCGAGGAGCTCTGCTGTGAAGGAGAGTAAGTGTAGGGGGATGGGATCGAGGCAAGTTTTTTTATAAACAACTTAAATTTTTACTAGAGTCTCTCGTAAATATCAAAGGGGATCCTATCTGAAACCCACAACGAGTTTCTTAGCACTTTTTCCATTCTCCTTTATTTCTACTTTTGATTTTGAAAAATTTAAAGTGGTAGAAAAGTTGAAAGAATAATACAGTTAAAGCCCATAATACCCTTACTCGGATGCGCTCTCTCTCTCTCTGGCTGAAGACGGGAGGCATGAGGAGACATGGGAAGCTGAGCTCGTGGACCTGGGAGGGGCACCATTGTGGAGGCGCTTGGCTGTGCCCAGTCTGGAGGCCTGCGAGAGCCTGTGGGCGCAGGGTCCATGAGCCACCGTGGGGGCGGGAGAGCAGCAGCCACTGGAGGACGCATGGGGGATGTGCTGGAATTCTCCCCCACGAGCCAATTCACGTGCTTGACTGCAACACCTCTCCCTTCCAAGAGAGCCCTGACCCAGGGTGGGAAATTGTTTCGCCATGAGCTGGGGTTATGGGCTGAATTGTATCCCCTCAAAATTCATACATCAAAGCCCTAAGCCCCAGTGCCTCAGAATGCGACTACATTTGGAGATGGGCTCTTTAAAGAGGTGCTTAAGTCAAAATGAGGCCTTTAGGGTGGGCCCTAATCCAGTCTGACTTATAAATTTGAACACGTAGAGACACCAGGGATGGGCGTGCACAGAGAAAAGACCACGTGGGGACACAGTGCAGAGGTAGCCACCCACAAGCCAAGGAGAGAGGCCTCAAAGTAACCAAACCTGCTGACACTTGATGCTGAACTTCCAGCCTCCAGAACTGTGAGAACTAAGTTCTGTTCTTTAGCTCCATCCCCATGGTATTTTGTTACAGCAGCCTGAGCTAACTAAGACATTAGGCCGGCCAACGCCCCCAAGGACAGTTGTCTGCTCGTGTGCACCCAGGCCTTTGACTGTTGGCCGAAATGACTGGGCCCACTTGGTCTGCTGGCCAACATTGGCTCAAGTGTTGCTTCCTCTGGGAAGCCTGCCTTCATCCATCCTTTCTCAGTAGCTCCTCGGGGGAACGGAAGGACATTCTTCACCCTGGTATTCTCAGAGGTTGCACAGTGCCACCTGCATTTCTCGTTCCCCTTGCCTGTCTCACTATGTCTTTTCCATAGTGCTCATCTTCTTATGCTGCCTTTGATTAACTTTCCTGTTTTGTCTGTCTGTCTTCCTCCGCTGGTACGTAAGCTGCATGCGGCTGGGTGATTTTGTCCATTTTATCCCCACTGCATCTCCAGAGCCTGGGACAGTGACTGGGATGCAGGGATCCCGCTCTGCACTTGTGTTGATGAAGAAATAAGTGAGAAATGATGTGCAAATATCTCTGCCACTGCGGGGACGTTTGCCGTCCCAGAGGGGAGGTCCTGCCGTTTCGATGTGCCGTTTGCTCTCCATGTAGGAATTGGAGTTCAGCATCTTTTCTTGCCTCTGTGTTGCAAAAAATGAGGCAGTTTTTGGCTTATACGATGAGTATTTCTGACATGCTCCATGACAATACTGGTCGGGGAAGCTGACCATGGGTTTGCTGGCCTGAACCTTAGTTTCACAACCTGCAAAATACGATCTTCTTGATTCTCTGCCTTTGCTGAGCTTTAGTAAAAAGTGATGGCATGCCTATTTGTAGCCCTAAATCAGTGTTATATTCCCTAGGCCTGAGGACCTGCCCTATGTCTGGTTGTGGGTGGCGTTGGTCCTCTTGTGGTATGCCATGATGGGATAACCAGGGCCAATGTCACCAGGCCTTGCATCTCTCGGCCAGCCTACACCTGGTCCCTGGGTGTGAGGTACACGTGTTTGTCGAATGAGTAACAGTGGGTCCAGGTGCTGTCTCCCTCTCTGGGGTTTTCCTCCTAGTAGACGGAGGTTCCCGTCAAACCTTTCGTAGCATCGACGTCATTCTCACGTGGGATAAGGAGTTGAACAGGGGTCATTTAGAGGACAAGCATCAACGGAAACCAGCTGTCTCTGCTCCCTGGTCTTCAGTCCCTGGGGCCCTGGAGGCTGCCTGCTGTTGTGGTGTGGGCAGGTGCACTGTAATCAACCCCCTGGGAGTGAGACCTCTTCCTCTGATGAACTGGGGACCCCTGGGTAAGTTCCTTTGCTTCTCTGAGCCTCTGTCCTCATCTGTCAGAAGAGCATGATGATGTCTGCCCACAGGCCTGTGGTGCAGGTCCATGGATGGCGCACTAAATGTGGCTGTCCTTCTTCCTTTCTGGGGGGACTGTCGCAGTCTAGGACTTATGGTCTTGGGACAGAGATGAAAATCTTAGAAGAGCAGATTTACCATTGGTTTTGCTCTTTTTACCCTTTCATCTTTAAATGACTCTTTTAGTAAACAATTATGGCACTGTTCATCTGGCCCAGGACTCTGGAAGTCATATTTTCTAGGTAAATATCAAGAGAGATCAAAGCCTGAGCACAAGAAATGAGTGCCCGGTGCTGGACCAAATTTGTATGGGAGCTTTGCTGGATGCTACGCCTTCTGGATCTCAATACTTGTGACATGCTGCTGTCCTAAGAGGGTCATTTTACTCTTTGACTAGTTGTACATTGTTCCTCTAGAAGTTATGGGTCTCCCACTTCTTTTCTTCCTCCAGAAAGGCAGTTACACGTGTTGAGAGGCTCCAGACCAGACCAAAGGCTTGAGAGCTGTCTGTGCCCAAATCTGGGATTCTAGTAGCTGATGGCACACAGGTTCCCTTTCAAGTTGGCTTCAACTTGGTTTCTCTGTCTTAGAGGGTGTATAAGAAGCTTGTGCTCATTCATTCATTTGTCCAGTCAATGAACACTTACTGAGTATCTACTTATATCTAAGGCATGCACAGATGAAGACAGTACTTTACGTGTTGTAGTAAAATATGAACAAAGTCTCTGTATATTCAGAGAAGGGAACAACTCAACAGTGAATGGTGTTGGGGGGCAAGTTTCACAAGGGGGTGATATTAGAGATGGGCCTTGAAGGTTGAATAGGAGTTTGCCAGAGGAGGATAGTCATCCCAGCCAGAGAGAACAGAGGAATACAAGTATTGCAAAGATTCAAAGATATGACAGATCCCAGTGTGCTTACACATGTTGAGGTTTACTGTGCTAAAGTCCATGACTGCTGTAATTTTTACCTGTGTGTAGGAGTATGGATACATAGGTGTGTTTCTGTGTTTGAGGGAAGGGCATGTATATGTGGGAGGTTGTTAGGAAGGGATGCATGGAGTGGTGGGTAGGGCCCCGTATGGAGAGACTTAATGTGCCTGAATATCTCCAGAAATTTGAGAGATTAGAGCCCTAGTCTGGGACAGGAAACAAGAGGTGGCTAGAGTAAAGCAGTTACAACAGCAAATGTTTCCTCAGACCCTCAGTGGTAGCCTGCCACCTGTCACCTTGGACTGGTTCGACTCCCTTTGAAATCTGGCACCTGCCTGTGCAACTTACTCTCCTCCTCTTTCCTTAAGTGGCCCCTCCGGGACGGCTCAGTGCTAGGAGAGGGTCAAAAAGAAATAAAACCCATCCCAAGCTTGGAAGTAGTTTGTAATCACGGAGGATGATAAGGGAGGTGGGAGATGCTCCTGGCACCTCTTGAGCATCATCGACAAACACAGCTGACATTCCCATTTTTGCATTTAGTCTGTCCTGTTCTTCTAGGTTCATACAAATTACTGAGAGACGAGCGACTCAAGCCTTGTTCAATCATTCACTCAGCAATTTACTCCAGAAACTATTCCAGCCCCTCTAAGTTGAGAAAGAAAGATGATTCTTCAATAACAACGAATTCCTCAATGCTTGCCCATGGTGGACTCCCTGAACCTCAATTTTCCATCTGTAAAACTGGCATAGCAATTCTCATCTAACAGGGATGTAACATTCAAAGGAGATTAAAGGTACGTGGAAGCATCTGGCTCATCACAGGTGGAAATATGCTTTTGGTTGCTCTCCTCCCACACACACCTGCTCTCAGGGACATTGTTTTACTTGGTTTCATCCAGGAGCTGGGTGTGGTTCCCCACGCCACCAGCAGATGGTGCCAACAACGCCGAGCCGGGATCGAGCCTCCAGGCTTCCCCCATGCTCCCGCCCCCTTCCCTGCCTTCCTCCTCCTCTCTTCAAGGCGCAGTCATTCCAGGTCCCAGGCAGAAAGTCACACAAAACACTTAGCGTCCGTCAGCAGATTCCTGGAAGGTCACACTGAATGATGAATGCTCCTGGGTAGGACTGGAGGCTTTCTTTTCTTTCATTTTTTGTCTCCCATGAATTGCATCACTGGGCAGCCTCTTGGCTTTATTCATCAGACTCCTGTGGTTTTTAGACCTTTCCCAATTGTTCTGTGTCTGCTTCCTTTCCAGGCCCCTTCTGGCCAAGGCAGGATATTCAGGGTTGGCTGCGGCCAGAGAACTGGTCGTTGTCCAGCACTTTCCATGGTTACTCCCTCTGCCCATCCTGTCCTCCACTCCCAGAGCCTGAACAGATTGTCGTCCTGGGGACAGAGACCTGATGTTGCTGTGATCCCAGGTGACTGTCTCTGAGCCCTGATTCCCACATAAAGGGGAGCTCGCCTGGCCAGGAAGAGCCTCATCTTCTGCGTCTGATTTTCCTCGGGGTCAGGGCCCTGGGAGACCCTGGCCTTTGGCATCTCCCTCCCTCTTCCTGTCCACAAATATACTGCTCACGGTACTTTTAACTTTGCCAGCTCTTTCAGCAACTACCCAATATTGGGTCACCATTTGTTTTGCTGGTGTCCTGGGAAGGTCCCAATATAACCTTCTGACCCACTGTTCCCTTATTAGGTATTAGGACGATAGTGTTGATTTTTTGTTGGAAGAATGTGAGCCAGACCATGCAGAGGCAAGACGTATGTAGTATAAGAAAGCACTTGTCTTCTCTACTCTTCTTTTTTTAAAGATTGGCACCTGAGCTAATGTCTGTGGCCAATCGGTTTTTTTTCCCCTCTTCTTCTTCTCCCCAAAGCCCCCCAGTACATAGTTGTATATTCTAGTCTTAGGTCCTTCTGGTTGTGCATCTTATCTGCTCTTACTACTCACCCTTACTGTGTGCTGGGCAGTGGGGGTTATTATATGTACGGAGATCAGTAAAAATAGACGCTGCCCTCAAGGAGCCTTTGGGCAAGGGGGCGTGAGAGGATGGTTACAAGTATAGTCCCTGGAGTGAGACGCTGTAGAATAGACAGAACACTTGGGTCCAGGACCCAAGAGATGGAAGCAGGGATGGCTCTGCTCACCATCATCCCTAGTGACCCAGATGGGAAATTTGTGTTTCCCGTCCTCTCTGCAACTTTAGGCTCTGAGGATCCAGAGGCCTTGGGTCCCGGAGTGGAGATGATACCACCTGAAAATGCAGCAAGAGACCACGAAACTAAGCTACAGCTGCTGCTGGTCATTTTGGGCTCTTTGTGCCAACAATTATCAGGCAAAGAAAGGAGTTACTATATTGGTAGAGGCAAATGGCTCTGATCGTCATGGGGAAGCGGGGCTGCTGCTTCATAATGAGGGCAAGGAGCAATGTGTTTGGCATGGAGGAGCTCCCTGGGGCATCCCTTGGCATTCTCACACTCAATTTTAACAGTAAATGGGGCAAGTTCCACAGCCGTGGCCTAATAAGGGCATGGTAACCAGGGGCTCGGACCCCATTAGGTGAATCCCTCAGGAAAATCCACATAGATCAGCTGAGGTGCGAGCTAACATGGAGGAAACTTAGTGTGTGTGGTGGAGGAGAGAGATGATGAGTTTCAGATATGACCTTGGGACCAAGGCAGCAGTCCCTCTCTATTAAGTTTCCTCAGCGTTGTGGCCAATCAGGACCCTGAAGAAGCTGCGCCTAAATGGAGCAAACAGTGTGAGAGGCAAGGGCGTGGGGTGGGCCGCAGTAGACACTGCTGCTCCTCTTCAACGTCCCTTTGACCTGACGGTTCACTCTCGACTATGGCGCTCCCTTCTCTTAGAGGATTGCCTTGGATAATGGATGCTGCCCTGGAAACGCTTGGAAGGTTATGTCCTCCCTCTGAGGATGGCTTCCAGCCAACGGTTGACTGATGTTGGGATACAGAAGACAGACAGACCCCTTGCCTCAAGGTGGGACAACTCTGTGGTTTCATTTATATTCCACATCGCTTCAGCTGAACCCACATCTTTGCTTAGCTTTTTCCACTGCATTGTTCTGCTTCCCTCTCCTCCTTAGGGGTCCTCCTGAGAGCCCTCCCTTAACACATCAATTGCACAAGGATCCCTGTCTTGGCCTGTGCTTCTAGAGAACCTGACTTAAGGTAAATAGCTGTGGGAATACAAGGGAAGGAGATACCATTGTCTGGGGGCTCAGAGGAGTCTTTCTGGGGTAGGTCTTCAAGGATGAGTAGGAGTTTGATTGTGGGAAAAGACATTCCAAGCAGAGGAAGAGAACAGCAAGGTATAACAGTCATGTACTCTGTCTCAAGAATGTCAAGCTGTTTTATTTGGCTGGAGTGCTAAGTGCATGGGGTGGGGTGGGCTGTGAGCGGCAGGAGATGCTGACACCAATTCGTAAAGGCCCAAGTAAGGAGACTGGACTTCAAGCTTTAGATCTGAAGTAACCCTCCCTGGACCTCTTCCCTTGCTCTTTTGCAGTTGGCTGAGACCTGAGGGACCACCACTTAGAAATTAATTGTAATATAAAAAGCATCCTTTGTCATATTTCAAGTCAGTGGAAGAAGTGGGGTGTAAAACTCATGCTCCCAAATTCCAGCCCAAGGCTTTATCTATTGCTCATAGTAATGAAATCCTCTGACCACTAAAATAATATTTTAACCCACTCCTAAGCTGTGGACATGGATATATCCTGATTCATCTAGTCCTCACGTTATTAAAATACATTGTTCTTCTTAACAATTCCTAATAATTAATAGCAATTCAGATTCATCTCATATTTATTTAGCCTCACTATATGTCAGCCTCTTTCATGTACGTACTCATTTCATTCTCACAAGTACCAGTGAAGCATGTGGTATTATTCCAATGTTCTAGATAAGAAGCGGAGTCACAGAGAGGTCAGAAAATGTACCCAATGGAGAAACTCAGGATTTTTCCACATTACTACCGGAGTACATTTTTTCCTATGTCATTTAGTTTTTGTTGCATAACAAACCACTCCAAATCTTGGTGGATTAAAACAACAACAATTGATTTATTTGATGATTCTGTGGGTTGGCAATTTGAGCTGGGCTCAGCTGGGTGGTTTTTCTGCCGATAGTGGCTGGGCTCACTCATGCTTCTGTGGTCAGCTGCTGGCTGGCTAGAAAGTTCTATCTCTGGAGGCTAGCTTCTTGTGGCTGGGGCAATGGCGGAAAGTGGACCAGGCGTCTCTCCTCATCCAACAGCCTAACTCAGGCTCGAAGAGCAGCAAGTGAAGACAACTCCAGTGTGTAAGTGCCTTTCAAGCCTCTGTTCACATTGTAATGGCTAATGTCCCACTGGCCAAGTTATGTGGCTAAGCTCAGAATCAGCATGGTAGGTAAGTGGCTGCCCGAGGGCATGGATGCAGGGAGGGAGTAATCTTTGGCTATGTTTTCAAACTATCATGTTCTGTTTTCAAAAACATTTTTACTATAAAAATGTATATATGTTTGATATATTTATAAATATCACATATGTATGTATATCATGTTAGTTTGGAAAATTGGGGAAATATAGAAGAATCTAAAGAAGGAAAGAAATCACCTGTAATGTACAGAGATAATCATTGTTGACCTTTTAATATGTTTCCTCCTGTCTTATGAGCATATGAGTGAGTGTATGACTGTGTGTGTATACTTTTGTGTGATATTTTCCTTTAAAAGAATGATATCAGAACCTGCCTTTTTAATTGACATTATATTATGAACATTTCCGCATGTCATCAAATAATTCTTGAAAATACAGCATCTTTTAATACTCTATCATATCTCCCCATCATGTTTTATCTAACTTTACCCTATCATTTGTTTGTTTTTTGCTGTTTAGGTTGCTTCCATTTCTTTCTTTTTTTGTTTTTGGTCATTATAAGAACATTCCATTGAAAATTCCAGAATATAAATCTTTATCCACATTTCTGATGATTTTCCTAGTACAGATTCCCAGAAGTGAATTACTGGATCAAAGAAGATAGCATTTGTAAGGCTTTCAATACGCATTGCTAAATTGCTTTCCTGGAATTCACTCTCCCGTGGCCCTGTGGGGAATGGCCTGCATTGTGGCACTTTCAAGAGCACTAAGTATTATCTTAAAAAGAGGAAAAAGATTAGTTAGGCAAAAAATGGTACCTTATTTTAATTTGTATTCCTGGTTGCCAGAAAGGATAAACGTTTTAGAAATGCTTATTGACCATTTATAGTTCTTCTGTGAATGTCTTTTTTCTTGAAAAAAGATATGCGTTTTACATTGATTTGTATGAATTGCCCTGTATTAATGTTATCAACACGTTATCATCTAAGTTACAAAATTTTTTCCCTTTAGGTTGTCATTTACTTTTTAATTTTGTTTGAGGAGTGTTTTTTTTTTTTTTTGACATATAGGGATTTAAAAATTTTCACTGTTGAATCTATTTTTCTTTCTTTTTTGGTGACAGTCATTGCTTTTAGGTTTACAATGTCATTTTTGATCCATCTCTTAAAAAATGTCAGACGTAGTGGCTTCGCCACTTAGCAGAACAATGTTCAGAAAGGCTGTCTGTCTTTGGAACCAGAACTGACAGGTGGAGCTGATCTCCTGTGGGATGTTTTCCCCTCCAGTGGAGTCTGGCTGAACTGCCTCCAGGGTCCCTGTTAACTGACACCAGGTTGATCAGCAAAGGCCCTTGGAGCCTTTGTGGCGTGGCTGTGAGCCCGTCAGGAAAACTGCACGGCACTTACACCTGCGGCTCATCCTCTCTCTGTCGGCCCTGGCCTCCCGTCATCCTGGCCAAGAAGCAGGTGCATGCTCTTCTTTGTCTGTTACAATCCTGGTTGGACTTATCACCAGACACTCCAAAGGTCCATGGTACAAAGTAGTTTGTGTCTTCCCCACAGTGTGAATTTGAATCCCACTGGCTGTGAGACTGATGCACAACAATGAGCTGCTTAGCGGGTTGGAGAGCAGGGCCATCACTGTCTAGTCCCTGTACTTCAATGGAGCTTCGTGGTGCAACTTGGGAAGTGTTAAAGTGTTGGTTCTTGATGAACTTTGCACCTGAATGAGATCAAGCCAAGGTATGTGCTAAAGGTGGAAGGAAATGCAATTGCATTGCAGATTCTCCTTTACATTGATGGGCATCTGAGGATAATTTCTTAGCTGGAGCTAAGAGGGAATATGATTATAGTGGAAAAAGACCAGGGGATTCAGAGATGTTCAGAACTGGATTCAAATTCCTTCTTGGCCACTCACTATGTGGCTCTGACAAGTCTTTGACCTTCCTGAGCCTCTACTTCCCGTCATGAGTAGACACCAGTTCCCAGAGAACTGTTACGCGTATGGAACGAGCTAATGCAGGCCAAGTGGTTGGCACTAAAGGTTTTCAGTAAATGGAAGATAGTATTTTTATCCAGAAAAAGAAAAGTGATCTAAGTAAGAAAGTGACGGTTTAGGGATTTTGGCATTTTGTGAAAATTTCAAGAATAATTTTTTGGAATGTCAGGAATCTGTTCCTGAGCTTTTCCAGGAGCGTGAGGCGATGGGTCGGTGGCCATGCAAAACCGTGGGATAAGAGCTGCATGCCTTCTGTAAGTATTGATTTTGATATTAAAACACACAGTGATATGCAATGGACTAGGATGCAAAAGTCACACAAGCTTCTAGGATAAAACGCAAGACTTCTAAGAAATTGCACACCAGTGGGAGGTCTTTTTGGTGCTCAGATGCGCAGAGGTATGAGCTCTGCCTTCCTTGCTAGTAGGGCTATTTCAGTGGAAATATTTGAGAGGATCTGGATAATGCTAAGGTGCTTCCCCAGAAGGTAGGAGAGCCTTTGGGCAGCCACACGGACAGTGCTCAGAAGGGAGCAGTTTCCTCCCAGCCTTCCTGGAAGAGAACCTTCTGGGAAGAGAGACATGTGGGATCACTCCTCTCTGGGGACATGCACAGGTATCTTTATAAACCCTTGTGGGGGTCATTGGAGCTATTCACAGACTATTTCTTGTTCTTCCAGGTGCTCAATAGGATGGTACTTCCCTGGCTCCTTGAAAGTAGATGCAGCCATATGACTTGTCATGGACAATAAAATGTGAGCAGAAGTGACATGTGTCATGTCTGAGCAGAAGTCTCTAGCACCGGCATTCGGTTCGCCATTTTGCTTTGCCCTGGCTCAATAACCTGGAAAGAGGGAAAGGGGCTTCTCTCAGCCTGGGTCCCTGAATGAGTACCACATACAGCAGATCTCCCAGTCGGCCGTGGTGACATGTAGCATAAGCAAGACATAAACCTTTGTTGTTTTATATCTCTGGGCATGTGAGGTTTTTCCCTTGTTATTGCAGCAGAACCAAGCTTATTCTGGTTGATGTCCTACTTGAGGGTAGACACTGAAAGTAGGTGGCTTCATTTGGCCCACACAGCCTTTATGGTGCTGGATTCACAGCTGACACTCGGATTTCTTTTATTTCTGAGACTTATTGAGCAGGTTATGTGCCTGGCTGAGAAGGTCTGGGTGTGAGGGTGACTGAGCTGTAACACTCCCATTGGCAGCTGTCCCCCCTGACACCAGGGGCCCACCACTTGTTTGGCTGATGAGGCTGACGAGGAGAGAGAAAGGCAAGGACAAACATTTGTTCAGTGTCTACTGTGTGCCAAGAACTCTGCTAGGTACTTGCTCTGTGTTCTCTGTAATGATCATAGCAACCTATGAAGTTATTATTATTACTTCCCTTTTATAGATGAAAAAACGATATCTCAAAGAAGTTATGTAACTTATTCAAAGCTACAAAGCTAGTAAGGGTCCAAGTTGAGATGCAGACACAGGCTGAGGAAATGGACTGTGAAGGGAAAGTCTCTTTCCTTCCCATCTCTCAGTTATGTTTCTCTGAAGTGCTGAATCTCATTGCGTTAGATCCAGGAAGCATTTGCTGACCACTCAGTCTGAAAAGAATCTGTCCCCCACCTCTGCGTCATCATTTTTTCTCGCTGTATGTTTTCCTTAGTAACTCTTATTGTTTAATATCTGTCTCACGCAATATGCTGTAAATCCTAGCACAATAAGGACCACGTTGTCTCATTAACTCTTGGGTGCCCGGGACCTGTTCCATGTTGGCACACAGGAGGCATTTAATAAGTGGTTGCTTATGTCAGTAAATAAAGCCTCCTTATGTTGATGGAGGAACTCTTGAAGCGGGTAGTGTAGAGGTTAAAAGCACAGACTCTGGAGCCAGCTTACCTGGGTTCGAACCTCAACTTTGCTACTTCCTAGCTGTGTGACCTTGGGGAAGTTACTTAACCCCCTGTGTCTCAGTTTTCTCATCTGTCGAATGAGGATAATAGTAGTATCTTTCCTCATGGTTATTGTGAGGATTGAACGATCTGTAAACAACCTGTAAAGCACTTAGAACAGTGTTCAGCACTTGGTAAGTGCTCGGTGAGTACCAGCCATTTGTAGGTGTAATACTGTTGTTAGAACACATGAGAAAAGGGATGGTACTGCACTGTTAGGGAGGCTATAGTATCTGAAATAGTTTGGTGCAGTAGAAAGATCATGGGATTTGCAGTCAGACAGACCTGGAGCCCTCCCTCGCCTCTATGACTTACTAACCAGCTGCCATAGACTGAATGTGTCCCCTCCAAGTTCATATGTTGAAACCTAATCCCCAATGTGGTGATATTTGTAGGTGTGCCTTTGGCAGGTGGAGTCCTCATGAGAGGGATGACTGCCCTTATAAAGGAGTCCAGAGGGCTCCCTCCTCTCTTTCATGTGAGCACACAGCAAAAGGATGGTCATCTGTTAACCAGGAAGCGGGCTCTCACCAAACATTGGGCCTGCTGGCATCTTGATCTTGGACTTCCATCCCCAGAACTGTGAGAAATAAATGTCTGTTGTTTATAAGCTGGCCAGTCTGTGGTATTTTGTTAGAGCAGCCAGAACGGACTGAGACACCAGGTGATTTGGGCAAGCCCATTGCCCGCTCTGAGTTTGTTTTCTTCATCTGCCTAAGCAAGCACATAGACTGGCATCGCTGGAAGGGAGTGAAAATATGAAAAATAATGCCCAAATCAGGAGTGACATACATGTGTGGCAGATTTGGTGTGTCTAGGAGAGGAGACTTGGTCTGTGAAAGCCTCCTGCACAGTGCAGGCGAAGTGCCCGTGCGTGAGGATCTGTAAATGGTGTCTGAACAAAAGTATGAATGAGGGTGGATATTGCTGAATGAATGCAGGCAAGAGGTGGGTGTTGCCCATTCAATTCAGGACTTAAAGGGCTCACCCTGGGGTGAAAGTAGGAGAGATTCTGTAGGTGACAAGGATTTCTTGGTGATTGAGTGAATTCTAGCATTGAGAACTGATCAGATTTTGATGATTTTTCCAGGCACACTGGGTTCATTTTGCCTCTCTCACGGGGCACGCCTGTGCATGAACAGCTTTTGCTAATGTGCTGTAACACGGACCAATCTCAGGATCAAGTCTTCCACTTACTACTGACTATGTAGGAACAAAGAAATCAAAACCATTGCTCCTAAAAGATTCCCCAATGGCTGCGATATTTTGGCTTACCGAGCATAACTGAATTAATTCATGGTTTTCCTAGAAGAGGAATTGAATCCATCGACCTATGGCTCTGTCATGCTTGTTTTGGAGATAGGCCAATTGGTCACATTAATTCTGGGAGAAAATTGTTGTGAGTCAGCTTTTGAACCTCACCTGTGCAGTTAAATGTTGGGTGGTCCTTTTCTCCAGTTGAACAGATTAATCTGTTCCTTGTATAAAGAGAATTGTGAGCTGAAACATTACATCAAACTGCTAGTCTGCACCCTCCACCGTGAAATATCAGCTTTATTAGTTCCATTCTTCAAGACATTGTGAAATAATGAAAAGCATATTGTGTAACCAAGATATGGCAGATTTCAATGCACATATTTCCAAGTGACCGTCTTAGTTTTCTATGTAAGTGTAAATTACTTAGTAACAATGGAGTTAACTGAACTATTATTCCCTCAACTCAACATTGCTATTATTCACTTAAGACAAAGCCCACATGAGATGCTTCTAGTATATGAAATATATTTTGGGTAATTACACAATTGCTCAACTACTCTAAAGCATTTGTTTGGAAATTCAGGAAATGGAAGCATCAGCAAATCTAGATTTTGATTAACCTTGAGAGTGATCACAGTGTAACTCTGGGTAAATAAGAGGGGAGAAATTATTATTATTTGTTAAACAAGAGAGAAAAAACTTAAAGGTTAATAAAGTATGCAAATTACCTGCCAAATACTCACTTATTTGTAATTTGCTACCCCATTGTAGAGAGACTGTGGGGAAATTATGGATCAAAATTTTGTGAGCAAAGGTTGGCATTTCTTGAGATGATGAAGTGATCTTCTGAAGTTGTTTGAACTAGAAAATAACATTCCCTCCCTTCTCAAGACCATCCTATTGTCACAATAAACATGGCAGAAGGTTTGTTGAAAAAAACTCAAGTGACTTCAAAATTGTGCCTAATCAGAAGTTTCACTCTGGTGTCTTTCAAATCAATAAGCATCTTCTATTATCTTCCAGGTACAGTGAATGCAGATACTTTGGGAGGAGATGGAGGAGGAAGATTGGAGGACATCCTAGATTGTTTAATTAAAAAAAAACCTTCTATTGTTTCACTTTTTACCTCCTTTTTATAAAATATTGGAATGTCAAACTTAGAAGAAACTTTGTAAGTCATTTAATCCAACCTAACATTGGGTTTCCTCTAGAGCATTCATGACTCACAGGTCTTCTAACCTTGACTTGAAGTTCAGTGGTTGGAGCTTGTTACCAAACTTCTTAATCTCAAGTTCGTGTCCCCCGTGTGCGGTAAGCCAAACACTGAGACATCGGCGCCTGGAGATGGAGAAGATTTATTTGAATTGGCAAAGATGAGAAGGTGGGAGCATGGGTTCACTCAGATACGCCTTAAAAAGAGTAGAAAGTGAGGATTTTATAGAGCTAAGTGGCTTGGCAGGAGGAGCATTGGAGAAGCAAAGGGGTCACTCTGCATAAGCCCGTGGGCAAGCTGGGGGCCAGCCATTGGTGATCGCAGCCTCCTGGAAGGAATTCTCTTTCTTCTGCTAAACAAGCTCACAAATCCTTGAGACTTGAGTCGCCCCTTAAGTTAAACAAGAAAACAGCAAATTGACCAGATTCACCTGTCTGTGTTGAGGACAAGGTCAAAAGGAAACCATGTTCTTATTGACTATCTACAGTGACCCTCAGGTACTGGCCTTTAACCTCAGTATCCTTTGTGGACACTCATTCCTTCCTAGTTCAGATCTCTTTGACTGTTGATTTCTTCCGTTCTTTTCTATTCTTTCTTTTTTTTTTCAATTTAGCTAAAATTCATCTCCTTGTAATGGCCCCTGGTCCTAATTCTTTCTCCTCCCTCTCCCCATTTCCTTATGCCCTCACAGCTATATCTGATTCTTCCACAGGACGGCCGTGCCCAATGTCTTCCATTTGCCACTCTGAGCCCTGCCTTCACCCTTCTTCACTCTCTCTGCCCTGGGAGGCTGACCTGCATGGAATTCAAGGGGACTCCATCCAGGGGGTCCTGTGTGCTCTGACTTCTGGTTGGATTTGGCCATCAGGGTGTCTTGGTAGAAGATTGAAAGGAGAGAGGAGAATGAGTTTTGATGTCTATATTCCCTGGGCTCCTACCTGTGGGGTTGTCTCTGGTTGGCTTTGTCCTTACTGCCCAATGATTGTCATTGTTTCTTTCAAGGAGACCTTCTCTCTACATGACTTTCTTCAGGTTTCAGTAACCACTTCCTCTATGCATCCTTGTGCCTAGGCGAGACAGCTCCCCTGCTTCTAGCCGATCCTCTACCCCTACAGCACTGCAAATAGTCCCTTCGTAAACAAATCCTCCTCAATTAACCTAATTTGATAAAACCATCTGTTTCCAGTTGGGACTCTGGCTGATACAACAGTCCTTCAGATAATTCTGAAACAACGCTATGTACCCACTATATCCCCCCTTCTCCATGCCAATGACCCACGATTCCTCAATTATGCCCAGTATCACTTGGCTTTAAAAATTCTCACCATCCTTTGAAATGTTCCAACTGGGCAGTCTCTCTTATGAAGTATGGGGCCCAGAACTAAAAGCAGTGGTCCTGAGGTGACCAGACCAGAACACAGCAGGATTCTTTCATTGCCTCTGGAGACCATGTTAGTCGTGATCCTAGCTGAGGGCCCACGTCACATGTGTGGAGCTCCTGTGGACGCTCCATCATCTGGTGGCAGCATACTGAGCTTGTGATCTTGGTTGTAGGATGTGAGGCGCTTGCTGTTAATCGAGACTCAATTACTGGATGTATGATCAACTCTGAGTCCGTAAGTTGGGCTGAAATGCTGATCCCTGACTCCGTTTTGTTCTGAGAGTTAAATGAGCCAGTGTATGTGGAACTGCTCTATAAACTACAAAGGGCTATACAGATATTATTGTTGGTGTTAGGCAGTGTTACTTCTGCCCCTCTCCCTTCTCCCAACTCTCTCCTTTCTCTTCCTCTCCTCTTCAGCAGAACAGGGTGGTCATCTGTTTGCTTTGACAAGGATATCTCCCAACCCTTCATCTACAGGTACGTCAACAGCTTAGACATTCCTCAAAGACCAGCTCATGATTGCTGCCTTCCCAGCGCTTTCCCAGATCAATCCAATGAGAACCACTCTCTTCATTTCTGCTGGAACATTTTGCTATTCTTACCTCTTAGAAAGCTAGAGGTAGAGGGAATCTTAGTTATCATCTGGTTCTACTTTTTTTGTTTTACGAAATGAATGAGTTGAGACTTAGAGAAGAGAAGCAACTTGTCTAGATTTATGGAGCAAATTAGGGATGGAGTCAGGATCAGAACCCAGGATGTAGGTCTCCCAGCTCAGAGCTGCTCCCAGGACCCCTGCACCTCTGAGAACCGTCCGCTCTGTTCCATGGTGGATCGCGTGTCCTTCCCCTCTTCATCTGTGAACTCCTGGAGGGCAGGGGCTGTGGCTCATTCTTCTAAGTTCTCACCGTAGCAACCCTCACCTTGAGCATGGCCCTGTCTGCTTATGGCATAAATGACAGATGAATTGGGGCTGGAGAGGGAATGAAACTGAAAAACTGGGATTGTTTTTGAGTGGAATGCTAGCTGAAGGCTTATTCATTTCTGCCTCCTTTCTCACCCAAGATGATGTACCCAGAGCCTTTTTTTAATCCAAGGCCAAGATGGGATTATCACTTTTCCCTTTAACTTTAAGTGAACATTTTTGAGATTTCTGTATATAACTGGTGAATTTTGCTGAATAGAGGTTTTGGAACACTGTTTTAAATTAAAAAGGCTCGGGAGTACATGAAAGTGGAAAATTCAGTTGCTGGTAAGTGACTTCCTTGGCTTATTGCAGTGAGAAAAGTTAGCTGACAAGAGTGAATCTTCAAAGAATTAATTTACAAAACTACGTGTTTAACACTGCAGCCTCAGCTGAAAGAGCCAGAGAGTCGGAAAAAGTGCTGAGTCTGGGGAAAGTTAGTGATGGCCTGCGTACCTTGCAAGGAAGGCGAGCCGAGTCAGCATCCCCGGAGTGGGGAATATGGCACCGGGGGGATGAATCTTTCAAATGAGCTGTACTCTGCAAGGCAGCGTCTTGCCTTCCTGAGGTTCTGTGCATAGGGCTTTCAGATGGCATGGCCAGTGTCCTGGAGCCACCTCCTGAGAGCCACACTGAACTGAGAAGCCTGGCTGATTCTTAGCATGCCGTCAAGCTCTTTATGTTTCTCATGGAGCGCAGTAGCCAATGAAGTGATACTTGTGATAGTTACACGCAGGAGAGCACATTTTGTTAAAACTTTTTTTTTTTTCAAGCTCCAACACCTGCTCCTCTCTTTCCTAATGTGGTATATTCTATGCTATCTGCAATATTGGCATAGCAGCATGCAAGAAGAATTAGAGAAAGTGTGGGGGTATTCTGAAGATAGCACCAGCTTTGGAATCAGATAGAACTGGGCTTGAGCCCGAGTCCTGCCACTCACTTGCTGATGACCTTTTGTAAATAATTTGCCTCTTTGAGGCTCAGTTTTCTCATCTGTGAAATGGCAACAAAGACAATTACCTTGATAGTCATTGTATTTATGGCAATCGATATCTCTAATTCTAGCTTATGTTCGTACCTAGCATATAATGGATGCTGCTACTGATAATGATGCTGCTGAAGGTGATGATGGTGGTGGTCATCATGGCAGTGGTGGTGGTGATGGTGGTGGCCATCGTGGTGGTGGTTGTGTAGCTGAATATCAATGGGGCTTTTTCTTTCCATTTTGAGATATACGATTCTTCATCGTGATTGGGAAGTAGCACCCAAACACAATAGAATCATGGGATTTCCCTGCTGGAAGGGACTTTAAAGACCATTTTTCCCCAATCTTCTACATGTGATGCCTAAATACATTTAAATTGGTATTTCACCCTCTGTTTCAACATTCTCCGGATGTTGTGGATGGGGCATTCAATAACTCACTAGCCCTGATGTCAATCAAATGATTTCTTTCTGAGCAACAGTTTTTTAATCTGGAAAAGGGGTTGATAATGCCCAGGTATCAAGATCGCTGTAGGGGTTAGAGGTCATACACATTAAAGGTCAAGACAGGCGCGCAATATCTGTTTTCCTTCTCCCCCTTCCGCTTCCCTTGCCGGAAGCTGCTTCTTTCAGCTTTGGATGGCTCTATTGTTTAGCAAGTCCTGACTCCCTGGGTTTCTACCTGTCAGTCTCCATTTCCCTTTTAATGGCCACATGGGATGAAGTGAGTCAGTCTTTCCTAAGACAGCCCTGCAGACATCATACTTGTGTCTTCTCACCCCAGTTCCTGCATCCTTTGGCCACTTCCTATCATCACATAGTCTCCAGTCCCCTTGTCTTATTTATTCTTCTCTGAGTGTGTGCCTACTTCCTACTCAAATTGGTACTTTTAAGGATCGGAGGTGAAAAGGAATTTAGAGAGTATCTCCGCTTTAGTTTTGTGCCTGGTACAACTGAGGCCCAATGTGAAGAGAATTAATGCAACAAGTTCTGCTGGACTCAGGGGCATGGCCCCCAGTTGTGTATTGTGATTGATGTGGTTACAGCTAAGGTGCCCTTATGACAGCAACTTTTATATTTTCATTGCAGTGTTTCCTTGCTCTTTCCAGAAAGGAACCCAGATACAGCAAAAGGGTTTTCTTGGGTTGTAAGAACATCTAGATTCTTTAAGAATATTCTCGTCTGCTCACATTTTATATCCAACACCAGTTGTTCCTTAGCAAGCCGCTTGAAGTTTGGAGGAGAACCCACTCTTTGAACCCAGTGCAGCTCTAACGGAGAAGCATGGAGCTGGCTATTTTTATTCCACATGGCAACATGGATGGTGAAGGCAGGGTTCGCCTGTGAGGTGGGACTAAAGTACCTTCCTCGGTAATATCTAGTAGTGCAAATGCAGGCACGCTATCCCATCTCTCTAAGCCTCAGTTTCCTCTTCTTAAAATGAGGGTTTTGACCTCTTCATTGCCTAACACTAAGGATTGTGGGAAGATTATGTGAAAATAATGTCTCAAAGGACTTTTCTGAACCATAAAGCATGAGGTATATGCACAATTTCTTGCAATCTAGACTGAATCAATTTCCTACTGCCCAATTATCCTCTGTGAATTCATAGCCATCTTGGTCAACTGAGGCAGGTTGCCAAGCTTGAAGTATGCCCAAGTCCACCGTACTGGTTTTACCTTTGCTCAAGGTCAAGTTCAAAGGTCCAGTTCTCCTGAATGTCAGTTTTGACTGTATCAGTCCGTGGTGAGTTTTCTGTCTTCTGAACCTAGCCCTACCTGTTGCATTTTTTTTCTTGTAGGGCACAGTTACATTCTTCTATGTCATGTTTGTCTTCTCTCGAAACAGTCTCTAGCAAGTTCTGCCAACTTCAGCTCTTACAAGGCTCTCCAATCAAATCTCTCTTTTGCGTTTCACAAGTGTGTAAAAATAGAGACTATGAACCAAGAGATAAGAGTTGAGAACATGTTAAGAGCTTCCTTCAATTTATAATGCTGTATTTTTTTTTTTGAGGAAGATTAGCCCTGAGCTAACATCTGCTGCTAATCCTCCTCTTTTTGCTGAGGAAGACTGGCCCTGAGCTAACATCCATGCCCATCTTCCTTTACTTTATATGTGGGACGCCTGCCACAGCATGGCTTGCCAAGCAGTGCCATGTCCGCACCCAGGATTTGAACCAGCGAACCCTGGACCGCTGAAGCAGAATGTGTGGACTTAACCACTGTGCCACCTGGCCGGCCCCTATAATGCTTCGATTATAATGAGGTTAGATGTTTTTCCTAAGTTTTTGGCCATTTGTATTTCTTTTCTTTCTTCTTTTTTTTTTTGGTGATTTCCCCATTTGTATTTTTTCCCTCTGCCTTCAGCGTTTATTTTTCTAATTGATTCTCACAGGGTTAAATTTGTCATATTTTTCTTTTTGGTTTTTATCTTTGGCGAAACCTCAAAGTCTTCTTATATATGAAGATTATGTAAATATTCATCAAATATATTTATTTGTTTAAAAACATGAAATCTTCAATTCATCTAGAACTTAGGTTATACAATGTAAGTCAGGGTTCTAGTATGGTATTTTTTTTCCTAAAGGGTTAGCTAGGAGTTTCATGGCCATTGCCACATGAGACCCTCTCCCCTCGTAGATGAAATACCTTCTGAAGAATAACAGAACTATATTGTCCTATTGATTTTCCTGCCTACATTGGCAATAGGCTGCTACTCTCTCTGTTTCTATTATTTTAGTTTTTAAATTCGTTTTAATGTCTTTTATGGCATGGCTCCCCTCCTTTTATTTCTACCGTTCCCTGCTCCCTCCCCTGTAATGTCCCTTTTAATTTTATAGATTTATTCCTACAGATAAACTTGAGCATGTTAAGTCTCCTAGGATATTCCATTGTATTTTGACTGAAATTGCATTCGTGTTATTGGGATAGATCAAACTCCAGAAAATAACGTAAGGAAACAGAGCAGAGCAGAGTAGAAACCCAGAGTCGTATAGAACTAAATGGTAGAGCAGAAGTTATGAGGGAAACTCGGTGGAGAAAAAACCGGAAGAGGGGTAGAAGCTCAGAGAAAAGAAGATGTAAGGACAAACTGGAGACAGAATAACTGCTGGGCCTTAAGGATAAATCACAAATAATATTTTCAAAATACTACAAGATAAAATTTTTCTGAAGCTACAGGAAATTGTGAACCTATCATGTGAACCATATCAGAAAGATTACTTAAATATGACAAATATCTCGCCATATCCTGGTGAAAATATTGAATTCCATGGATAAAAAAGCAATCCTAGAAAACTTCATGGAGGAAAAAACCCCAGAAAGTCCAGTGGAAAAAGTCAAGGAGGGAGGCCTGAGACTTCTCTCCGCGACATTGGATAAAGGCAGTCAATGGGACCGCATTTACAGAGTCTGGGAGAAGGCGTATGATTCCAAAATGCTACACCCATGCAAACTGTCATCTATAATTTTAATAATCAACATACATTTTCCTATTACAAAAGAAAAATAGGTGTATTGTAGAAAATAAAAACATACTATTAAAAATTTAAAACATCTTAAAAAATCAAAACGACTTGGAATCCAGACTTTTTAAATGCCAGTTTCTGCACTGCTCCCTTTCTCTTGCAGCTGTGTACAGCGAGGTATCGGGACTATGTGGATATGACTTATTTATGCTCATTCTGTTCCCCCAGCCCTCGCAGTGATGACTGAAATTTGGCTCTATATTTGTGCTCCCTACCAGGCAGAAGCATTTGATTTTGGTTTTAGTTAAAGTGAATTGAGAAACAAGTTACGAATGAACACACAGCCTGGAAACAAATGGACTTGTGTGCCTGCAGATTTGAGATGCCTAGATCCCTAAGCTTCGAAGGAAAACAGGCGAAGCTGAATGGTTTCCAAATGGAATCAATTCTCAGTGAACCAGAAGAGTCAAGAGGCTCATTTGAAGTCAGGGCAATTGCCCTGAGCGGAGCTGGGCAGATCCGGGTCTGTATATTCACTTCTTCACTTACTTTGTGTGAGCTTGGCTTCTTACATCATAGAGCCCTTTTTCTTTTCTTTTCTTTTTTTTTCGCACATACAAAATGATAATTATGTTCCTCTTCTGTAGTTGTTGTGAGGGTTAAACACAGTGATGTCTATAAAATGTCTAGCACAGCCAGGCACTGAATATTAACTCATTAATAAATGGTGGCTGTTCGTTAAGATAACAATTTAGTAAACACACAAGCTTCATTTCAATGCTATATAAAATCAGTGGATGCTTCAAACCAAGAGCTCGAGAGATTAAGCATTCCTTCAACATCTGGCCAAGTAATTAATTCTCATATTTATAAGCTTTGGCGGTACATTATCAAGGAAGGTAGGCCTCTTGTGAATTATAACTTTTTAATTAATTCACTTCACGGGTGCTGATTAGTACTAATTTATAGCTTGGTTTGCATATCCTTGAAGGAGGTAAAACTGTGCATCTTCGGTCCGCATATACACGCGCCCCCCTCACAGTTTGCTCTGAAAGGTCCCTGTCCCTCCTCCAAGTCTGTCTTGCTTCTGTGCGTAAGATGTGCCCGCAGTTTTTAATGGTCCTGGCTAAAGAGACAAGTCGTATAGTAATCTGCCCCATGTGCAGGCCATTAGGGGTAGCTTTCCACTCTGCTTTTTTCCTTCTATCAGCTCCATTTTCTGCCCCTGTTTGTTCTCAAGGGATCGGAGCCAAATGCCATCAGCGTGGCTTAGTGGAAAAATCTTTAGGCTTGGTGCCAACAAACTTGGGTCTAAGTCTTGGTCCTGGGAGCTTTTTACCATTTATGTCATAGGGGGCTGTTACTTATCCTCTCTGACTCTCAGTTTCCTCTCTGAGGAAGATGGGTTATGGAATATCTCCTTTACCAGGTTGTTGCAGGAATTGGAAAGATAACCATGTTACAGGGAATTGCTCTGTTCCCGGCTATTTCAAAGGGGTGGGTGTTGCAATCTCAGAAACAATGAAGCCATTTCTTTGCACAGGATGAGAAGAGATAAGCTTCTTTCCTTCCTGACTTCTTCCAATAAAGGGAGAAAAGGGACACACAGAGAAGTAGAAAGAACGTCAGACAGGAGGTGGGCGTTCTAGCTCTGTCACCTGCTGCCTGCACACGAGAGACACTGTCAAGACTGGCAAGGGCTTGGACCTTGCTGGCCGCGTTTCACCCTGAGAAGTGGGGAGTGGGGTTGGGGACAAGCCTTGGGGAGAGAGGCTGTCAAGGGCATGAGTCTGAGTCTAGGCATGGCTGCTGTTTGCTGTGTGAGCCTGGGAAACCTGCATAACCTTTCTGAGCCTCATTTTCCTAGTTATAGAGTTGAGGGTGATGATAACAGTACCTTGGATACAAAATAGGGATTAGATAAGAAATGAGTGTGGAAGTGATTTATCAAGTGTAAAGCGCTGCACAGATGGTAGTTATTGTCATAGATGATCTCAATTATCCCTTTCAGTCCTAAAGATTTGTGATTCTAAATACAGCAGTGTGAGCGAGAGGCTTATTTTTTCTCGAGCAGCTATCGATATGATTTCCTCTGACTTTCCAGTTCTTCCCATGGCACTCTCTGCTCCTCAGGAGGAAATGTCCCTCCTTGGGGGCTGGGACTACCACAGGGATGCTGGGCTGACTCAGGAGACTGGGCCAAGCTGAGTGCCCCTGGGAAGGGGGCATTTAGAGGTGCAAAGTATAACCTGATCGTTTGAGGTTTGAATCCAGTTTTCTTGAGTCAGATTCAGATGTTTCAAAACCCTTTTCTTTAAACCCAAAATCTCCGAGAGAGCTCAGAAGGCTTCTTAGACATGAGCTAGCCTTCATGGGGAGGGCGTAGAAGGCCATTCTGACGAACACAGTGTAAACGAATCTGAAACATATGGATTTGATTTGCCCCCTGATAGGCACGTTTAAGTACTGAGCAGAAAAAGTCTTGGAAATGTGGATTTGGTGTTTCCCTGCTAAACTCTAAACATTATAAATAGATCAAGATGACGGGGAAGAAAACATCCCTTCTCCCTGTTGTTAAGCGTCCAGCTGGCAGGAGCATGGCCAGACTGCAGCTACCTTCAAGTATCCTGATGAGCTCCCTCCAACTCCCAGGCCCCCATGCCTTTGGACGAGCGAGCCTTACCTGTGTGATTGGGTCCCTAAGTTGTGGGCCCAGCGCAAAATGAAAATGCAGGTCTCCCGCTTCAAAAATGAAGAATTTCAAGACGATGGCGGCAGAGCATGAAAGGGAGCAGGGTGACAGGCCCGTGAAGTTGACTCTACTTTTCTGCCTAGCACACGATTCTTCTCCTTCTTCCAGGTCACGTCCCCAGCTTGGATCGTCTGCTTCCTTCTCACAGAGCCTTCCTTGACCCTCCAGGGGAGAGAGGTGCCCTCCATTGTGTTCCCGTAGCATCTTTTTCTCACTTCCATCAGTGCTCCTGTTAACCATAATGGACTGTTTATGTATTCATCTACATACCCAACAAACATCAATGGAACTGCCTACTATGCATTGTACACTGTGCCACGTGCTGGCAAGCAATTCTGGGAGCCTGGAGGAGGGGAACATAGCTCAGTCTGGGAGAGTCTAGAACTGAAGTTCTTTTTAGCAGGCAACGCTTGAATTGAGTCTTGAAGGATAAGTCACTTTAAGAAGAGGATTGGAAAGATATGAATCCACAAGAGCAAAAGACACAGAAGTAAGGAACAGCTTGGTATATGTGGTGTTGATCGGGCATGAGGCTTCAGACAGGGTCTGACGTTAGACGGGGCTGGAGAAGTAGTCAGGCATGACATTAGTGAGGGGCTTGTAAGCCCCACAGCTTACTTTGTCTCATCTAGGAAGCCACTGAAAGGTTGTAAGCAAGGAGTAAAGAGTCAGATTTGCATTTTAGATTAATTACTGTGGTTGCAGTGGGGATAGCAGATCAATACATGTGGAAGCAGGTAGATAAATTAAGAAGTGATTCCAGGCAAGAAATAATGATGACCTGAAATAAAATAGCAACCCTGGGGAATGGGGAGAAATGTATGGATTCAAGAGATAGTTAAGGCGTAAGACAGGCAAGACTGAGGGGATATGGTGACTGAAGGAGGGAGAAGCAATTGAGATAAATCCTAGTTTCTAACATTGGTGACTTGTTCTATGTTTGTAATTCAGACTGAGAGAAATAAGTAGAAGGCTTTTTTTTTGGTGGTGGGTGGGGGCAGGGGATGAGGGTGCGAGTTGAACAACTTGAGTTTGAGGCTCCTATTGGGTGCCTATGTGGAGATGCGCAGCAGCCAGTGGATACGATGGTTGGAAGCTATGGGGAGACGTCTGGCCTGGAGCTGTGACTTCAGGATGTGAGTGTTCAGGTGGCAGTCAAACCCCAACCTCCATTCAATAAACTCATCCTACATTCTCATTAAGACATGATTGGATGGGTTCCACTGTATTTGGCAAAGGAAGTTATAAAATCCAGGGCAATTGGGATGGGATAGGAAGCAGCAGATTGAAGAGTAAATGGAAGGTGAGGAGGTAGAAGTAAGGAGATCAGACAATTAATTCTAGAAGCTTGGCTAAGAAGGAAAGGAGAGTTTTAGATGGTGGGCTAGAGGGATTTGAATCAAGGGAGATTATCTTTAAGATGCGTATTAGTTTCCTATGGCTGCTGTAACAAATTACCACAAATTCAGTGGCTTAAAACAACATACGTTTATTCTCTTACAGTTATGGAGATGAGAAGTCCTAAAATCAAGGCATCAGCAGGGCTGCATTCCTTCTGGAAGCTCTCAGGTAAGAACCTGTTTCCTGCCTTTTCTAGCTTCTAGAGGCCATCTGTGTTTCTTAGTTTTGGGCTCCCTCTGTGCATCACTCGCACCTCTGCTTCTGTAGTCACAACTTCTCTGACTCTGACCCTCTTGCCTCCCTCTTATTAGGACACCTGTGATGACCTTTGCCCGGGTGGAATCCAGGAAAATCTCCCCATCTTAAGGTCCTTAACTGAGTCAACCTGAAAGTCCCTTTTGCTGTGTAAGGTAACACATTGATAGGCTCTGGGAATTAGGACACAGACGTCTTTGCATGGGGGCATTATTCTGTCAGTCATAGGATGGGGGAGAATTGAGCATGTTTGAAGTTGGAGGAAAGGAGGTAGGAAAGAGCGAGAATGGAGGAAAGAGAGAGAGGGAGGGAGGGAGAGGTTGGAAGTGGAGGAGAGGAAGTGATAATAGCGGACATCAAGAGCAGGTGGAGGAAAGATTGGGAAATTGGGAAAAATCAGGTAATGATGGGTGTAGGTATGTTTGGATTTACAGTTAGGGAGGCATGAGGTAGCAGGGCTGTGAGACGGGTTTCGTAGGGGGCTGGAGGTGGGTAGGAAAGGGGTGGAATAATTGTTGAAGGGATTTTGGGTGGAGGTGAGGGTAAGCCAAGGAGTTGAAGGGAGGTGCTGAAGATTCAGCTGGCATGGGGAGATGAATCTGTAGTTGTTCCAGTCCCACGGTATGCTCTCTTCCCCGAGAGCACTGAACCACTTGGGTGTAGAAATGCACAAGATGCTGGGCAAGGATGGCAGAAGCTATCACTATGGCCCACTGATTAACCATGGAGCCTGTGATGGTTAATTTTATGTGTCAACTGGACAGGGCCATGGAGTGCCCAGACATTTGGGTAAACACTATTCTGGGTGTGTCTGTGAGGGTGTTTCTGGATGAGATTAACATTTGCATTGGTAGACTAAGTAATGCAAGGTGAGCTGGCCTCTTTCAGTCAGTTGAAGATCTTAATAGAACAAAAAGGCTGAGGAAGAGGGACCTTTGCCTGCCTGAGTGCTTGAGCTGGACACTGGTCTTCTCCGGCCCTCAGACTGGAACTACACCCCCGCCTCTCCTGGGTCTCCAGCCTGCTGACTGCGGATCTTGAGACTCTGCCTCCATAATCGCATGAGCCAATTCCTTATAATAAATCTCTCTCTCTCTCTCTATTTGTCTATCTATCTATCACCTATTGTTTTTTTTTTTTTCTGAAGACCCCCAGACTAGTACAGACTTTAGACTGGGCTAGAAAGGAAGAGAGAGCAGGAGGGTGTTGGAAAATGGACACTATTTCACATAAGTAGGACCTGGAGGTCTCTTCAAGGTCAGAGAGAGATGTAAGGGGAGTGAAGGTGGGACAGATATGGAGAAACTGGAGGTGGTGGTCAGAAGGCAGGCTGCTGGAAGTTAATATTCATCAAATGCCAGGGCGCCACCTCCAAAGATCCTATTAGGTGGGGCTGGGGTGCGACCAAGCATGTTTCATTGATGACTGCACAGCGCACCCAGGATTCGGAACCTCCTTATGAGGAATGACTGGTAACCCGTGTGACCTGGGGTGGGAGGACCGACCCCTGTGCCCATCATCTGAGAGTGCTACCCCTGCTGCCACGGTGTGGTGGACGTCTTCCTGGATAGGGACCTATCTCTGCCTGTGCATGCATGCACTCGCCCCACTTCCTCTAAGTGCGGTCACTGGGACTGCATCTGAGGAGGGTGGCGTCCTTCCACACTCTCCGGAGACACTGGTTGCCTGCTCTTCTTGTGAGTGCAGGCATGGCTTCCCTTTCTGTTCTGAGCTGCCCACCTCTTCTCTTTCAGTGTTGAATCCCACTGCTCTGTGGAGAAAGGAGGGGTGTTGTGAATGCCTTTTGGGAGCAAGACTCACTTTTTTATTGGCGTCTGAGCTGAAAACAGATTCTGCTCTCAGGTAGAAACATAGACACCAAGACGTTTTCTGCATCACAGTATTAAAGAGAAGTCCTGGCGGCAACAGTCGGAGGTCAGGAGGCTATTGGTCCGTAACCATTTCATGCTGTATACCCCATGGGGTGCACCCACACACCCCACTATATACAGTGCCTTGTAATGAGTGTGTCATGGGCCCTCAATAAATAGCTCTGCTCCTCCGATCAGATGGACCATAAGAATGAGAATTCTAAAGGACCAGTGAACTCGACTTTGAAAAGCACTAAAAAATGATGAAATGCCTGCTAGGTGCCAAGAACTAAGGCAGACTCTATATACATTACATCATTTCATTCTTTCAACAACTCTGTGATGCAATTATTACCCTTATCTTAGAAATGGTGAAACAGAAGCCAAAGAAAAGATTTGAACTCTTCAATTTTTGGAAATTGAGAAGTGAGAAGTGACCACTTTCATACCTCTTATGGTGTGAAAACTGTATTATTAGAGGTAATATTCATGGCTGTCAGTTTTCATCAGAACTTATTTCCTCCTTTGTTAATTTGGACTTTATTTTTCTGCATATGGTGCTTCGGTTTGTCTTTTAATCGGCATCATCCTGCTGCATCTCTCTCACCTCTGTGGTTAACAGTTTGTACTCTGGCTGTGACAAATTCTAAGTTCAAACAGTATTCCTGGTCAAGTATTTTTTTTTTTTAATTTCACTTTATTTAGGAAGACTTGAGAAGAAAGAGGCGTATGTTTAAAACCTGGAGCAGCCGGAATAAGAACCTGAGTAGAGCTCCTTGGACCGGAGCATCTTCTCTATTCGAGACGTTACACCATGTGTCACACCACAGTCAACGCTCAGAACTTAAGTGTCTCCCTCATACCTTCTCTCCTACTCAGTGATATTAATTTTTCCTCTGTAAAACACTGTAAATATTCCAGACCTTTGAGAAGTGACCTCTTTCTAGCCAAAGAGTATTTATCCCGTCTTAGGAGGGTTAATCTTCTTTCTTGGCATCTATCTGAATAAACAGTGAGATTCTGTGGCATCTGAATTTTGCATTCAGATCAGCATTCTTAGGAAAGCAAGATGACCTGATTTTTATTTTCCCTTGTAAGCATGTTGTGATGAATCCACAAAAATAACTGTGCCTTTCCCCAGGTCTGGTGGATAGCTTGCGTAATGGTGTTATTTCCAACAGGGCAGTAGTTTTTGGGGAAATACAGAGGGTGCAGGCAGGGAATAGACAGAATCGGAGAAAGCTTCAGGAAAGGAAACTCAGTGAGACTTGAAAGTGACTGACCGAGGAAGAGCCCGGGAGCTCTCAGTCCATGTTTTCCCCTCATTATTCTGCAAAGTAGAGAGGCAGAGGAGGAGTGATCAGAAGGGCACGGAAAGAACAAATCACCGGGAGACAGTGCCTCGGGTGTCCGGAGTCAGGGAAATCTGTCAATGGCGTGAATGCACTGGCGAGAGGAAAGGCCATTGAGTGTGACCTTCAGCAGGACACCAGGACTTGCAGGGCTGGGGGGTGGGGGACTGGATGGCAAGTGTTAGGGAGATGGGTAAGACTGAATCAGTGAGGGAGAGAGGGGAGGGGAGCTGGGAGCTGACCCTGGGGAGGCAGAAGGGGATAGATCTGAGAACCCAAGGTGCAGCTTGCTACTGTGATTCAGTGCCACATCAGGGAAGCAGACGAGCAGATTTGGGGATCAAGACCCAGGCCTCGAGTTGCCACACCTCTATGAGCTTCAGTTTTCAAATATGCAAAATGGGAACAACCATAACGCTTCCCAGTGTTCTGAGAATGAAATGAGGTGATGGACACTGTGTAAAGGGTTAGTCCAGAGCCAGGGGCTGGGAACACAGCAGAAGTGCCATGCGTACTGGTTCTGTCTCGCTTCTTTCCTGGAGGAGGGGGTCAACTCTGAAGCAAAGGAAGACACAAAGGGGAAGGTCACGGAGGAGAAGGGGAGAGGTGGGGGATAGGGAGCTTATGTCAGTGGCTCCCAAACTCAAGCCCATTTTGATCTTTAATCCTAATATTTGTATTTCTAAATTAGCACTGCATTTCAGAGTGTCAAGTTCATCTGATCAGCACTCTGCCTTCACCCAAGTGAGGTAGTTAAGCCTCATTTCTTGATATAACTGAGGCCCAGAGAGGTTGGGGCTTGTCCTATGTCACACAGCCTGTGAGAGGAGAAGCTGGGGTGAGAATATTGCAGTGAATTCTGAATTATTCCTATTGGTGTTAGAAGCAGGGGTCCCCGGGCTGGCCGGTCCCCACCCCACCTGGCCTGGGGCTCGTTGCCTCTGGAAGAGGGAGCACAGTGAATCCACAGTGGGGATCTGGCGCCTCCCCCATCCAACCACGCCAATGACCTTCACAGCGAAATTTCTCCTCAAATCTGGTGAGAGTGTCTGACTAGGGGAAGAGTGAGTCACTGCTGGCCTTAATCGGAGCAGAAAAACGAACGTGCTAAAGTCATCAGGGGTGCGGGATGGAAGCACCGGATGCTGTTTCCTCTACAGTCCGGGACAGAATGTCCTTGGGAAGGTAAGAGCCACTCGCTGGTGAGAACCTCTGATAGGAAAAGCTTCTGCTCTCAGGTCACAACGTCTCCAGCCACGCTGGGGCTGCAACTCCCCCCATGGAATCTCCATACAGGCCAAGTTTATGTTACACTGATTACACTGGAAGACAAAACATTTTGTACGATACCAACAAAAGCCATGGATAAAGGACGTTATTTAAAAATGAGCCTTGTTCTAAAGAGAAACCTGCTTTCAATCATAACCCATTTCCCATGAGGTTCATTGCAAGCAGAAATCAATGTAGTGTCCACGGACCTAGTGGGTGTCTGGAGCGCCGGGTTCTGGTTCTGGCTGGGCGCTGACCCTGCGTGACCCTGGGCGGCTTCTTTCCCCTCCCTTGCCCTCAATTTTCCTATCTGTAAAATCAGAGATTTGGGCTATAGCTCCAAGGCCCTTTCCAACCCTGGTCTGTCAGCTCCCACTTCCTCTCCAGCGGTAACACACTTACAGAAGCAAGAGGTGGTTAACTGGGAAAGTCTTCGTGCTGCTGCTTACCTTCTTTCCTCTGCCCAGAACAACTTTCACGTCCCGGCTTCTCTACCTGGAATTCCCTTTTTCCTTCTTTACACCTGGCCCAGGCTCACTGCTTTCACAAGCCCTCAGGCGCTGGGGTGAGAGGCTGGATACTGTGGTCATTTGCTGGGGCTGCCCTAACAAAGTGCCACAAACCATGGCGCTTAAACAAGAGAAACTCATTGTCTCACAGTTCTGGAGGCCAGAACTCCAAGATCAGGGTGTCGGCAGACCTGGTTCCCTGTGTGAGAGAGAATCTGTTCCAGGCTCTCTCCTAGCATTTGCTGGTTTGTGGCAGTCTTTGGCGGTCCTCAGCTTATAGATGCATCACCCGGGTCTGTTTTCATCCTCACATAATGTCTGTCTCCACATTTCCCCTCTTTATGAGGACACAAGTCACGTTGGATGAGGGACCCACCCTACTCCAATGTGACCTTATCTTAACTAATCACAACTCTATTTTCAAGTAAGTCACATTTGGAGGATCTGGGGATTAGGGACTTCAACTTAATGAATTTTGGGGGGACACAATTCAACCCACAACAGGTACCCTCGTGTGTGTTCCTGGGTTTCCTTCCCTTCTGGCCCTATCACACTGTGGACCCATCTTTCCCAGAGTGGCCTGAGCAGCAGACCTGATTCAGCCAGAACCACGTGTCTGGACTGTGGGCCAGAGAGAGCAAACACCAGCAGAGTTCACACCTGGCTGTGGGATGAGGGAGACCAGGCCCAGCTCTTTGGGGGAGGGGCATCAGCTGGAAGCTGGGCGGAGCTACAGAGGAGGGAGGCGTGGTCAGGGAGGAGAGAACCAATCAGGAGACGGGCAGGTCCACCCAGGTTACCGCTACCTAAAAATAAAGACTATCATTTCTGCGGTCAGAGCCCTTTGCAGTTTGCACGCACCCTCCGTTTGACAATTTCTTTTGGCATGAAAACCCTGGATGGGCAGGAGATGTCTTTTGCCCGGGTGGCACCTTGCCAAAGTAGTGTAAATGGGCCCTCAGCTCCCGGTCGGGGACTCACCTGCCTGGCTTCCTGGCCCCCTTGTCTCTTCAGAGTCTGACTCCAGGCTCCAACCCCGGGTCTCCCTTGAGGACTGGCCTGGCTGCCCGCCCTTTGCGTGGTTACCTCTTTGTCTCCTACGATTTCATTCCGCAAAATTCCCCTTGCAAAGCCCAACGGCGGGGAGATTTTTAGGGGGCAGCTCCATGGCTGCCTCAATTGTGAAGTTTCTTTGACACGCCCACCCTCTGCGTGCCTAAGTCTGAGAAGCAGAATGTCTGTGCGTGCTGGCTCCTGCATTTTTTGGCTTGTGACTTCAGCGACTTCCGATCTGGCTGAGCACTGTCATAGGTAATGCCCTTCCTAACCTTGGGGCACAGGCTTCTAGTCCTGCTTCCCCTGGGTGGGCCCGGAGACCAGTCCCCTCAGCTTCATCTGTCCTGGCCATCAGGGCGGGACCAGACATGCCCACTTCAGTCCCGGACAGAGTATATCCCCAGTTCCAGGCCTTCCCCGCTGAGGCCACCGGGGCTGGGCCTCTGGGTGCCTCCTCTGTCTTGGGGAGCTGTGAGCCACCCTTAGGCTGCTGTCCTCTGGCTCCTCCTCTCTGAGCCCCTAAGACCTTTCCCAAGGGAGTGCTTCCAACCCAAGCCTCCCCTCTCCCAGCCAAGAGAAGGCAGAGCAGAGGGAGCTGCTCACCAGGGCCCTCCCTGCTGTTTCTGCCCCAGCACAGGGTCTTGTTCCACCTCCTCTCTGAGCCATGAAGAGTGGGCTTAGGAGTCTGAAGGACTTGGGTTCGAATCTTTCCCTCACTTATTAGGTATAGGTTCTTGGGCTAGTGTCTCAACTGCTGTGATGTTCAGTTTCCTTATTTGTAAAATGAGAATATGAATTTCAACTCCAGTTGGGAGAATGAAGTGGGATAACGTGTGACAGAGCACCCACCACAGAGCTGGCACACAGCAGACCCTCGGCTCATTTTCCTTCTCGTCTCCCTTCCACCCTACTTTGTCTGTCTCTCCACTGTCTGGCCAGCTGGTCTCTCTGGAGGTGGTCCTCAGTCCCGTTTCTACAACGTGTGCATGACATCTCTGAAAGCTCCTCCCCACTCCAGAAGGTGAAGGGTTGGGCAAGGTGCCGCTGGTGGCCTGTTTTACCGAAGAGGAACCTGAGTTCAGAAAGGTGACTCTGCCATGGCCAGCCTGGAGCCCAGGCTTTCTCAAGTCTCCCTTCTGATTTCTCAGCCTGGCTGGGCCATGGCCACATACAGGAAGCATGCGGTGACTAGCGGTGCGTGGAGTGGGGGGTCTGATGGGCGGGGGGAGGGGTGGATGACCAGATCTTAAATTCGATCCCGTTATCTTTGCCAAATTGATGTCTGAGACGTGAGTCTCCTCAGCCTCATGGGGGACCTGCCTTCCCTCCCATTCTGTTTCCCTCTAGCCGTACGCATGTGCTTAACTTTCACCAGAACCTTGTAGCCTTTTGTAATGTGTCCCATAAAAATACTAATTTGTTATTTATTATCTCACATGAGTCCCTCTTTATGTCTGAAAACTTGCTTACAAGTTCCTTGGGGGCAGGGACCACATCTTCTGCTTTTCTTGCGTTTCTTTTCTTAGTGTTGAGCACATTGCTGAGCTCATGATAGGTCCTGGAAAGATTCTATTGTCTGCTTTTGAGTCTACGCAAGCAATAGAAGCTGTCCATAAGCTAGGTGGATTACCAAGTGAGCTCTATTATTTCATTATTTCATTTGATCTTCTCACCCACCATGTGTGTTAGTTATTGCGGTACGGAATATAGGAAAACTGAAGTTCAGAGACACTCAGCGACTTGCCCAGGGTTGCACAGTTAGTAGTTTTGAAGCAGTAGGTGGGACTGCAGGACCTGGATTGAGCAAGGATTAAGGTACATAGCACAGTCAAGCACATGCTTGGGTTCCACAGAATTTAATCTCATGGCTTAAGCCTGTCCCAGTCAAGGGACATAACCAGAGTGACAAATCTGATCTGTATCCTTAAGATGGCTGAGTTCATCTTTCGCCTCAGACTGAAAGTCTCTTTAGGAAATCATTTCCTTATGTTAACTTTTTTGAAATGAAGTTTTTGGACTAAATACATATTTTCCATTTTTTTTTATTGCATGAGCACAGTATTTATCTCATCGAGAATTATGATAAACCTCCTGAATGTTTCATGTTTTTCACGATTCATATGGAACAAATTAAAAACAACTTTCCATAGTCTGAATTGCCCCAGAGAATGGCTCAAAGACGCTTCCTCCTGCCTGCTCCCTCTGACTTCCTGTCTGCCTCGAATTTCACCACCTACAACCTGCGAGAGACTCAGGTGAAGAGGATCCCCACAAAGCACCTGGCCCCTCGTCCCAGCACATCTGGAGGCTTTTACTGGTGGGCCGCCATGTCCTATGAGGGAGAGGGTGTCATTTAAGATGACTTTTGTTTGTAGGCACACACAATTGGGAAGATTGGTAATTTTTATTACTGAGTTCAGGTTTTAAATGTACTTTGTCAGTCACTTCTGTCAGTATTTTAAAAAAGGAAAATGTAAGCCACCAACATATGAGCTTTCAAAAGACGCACTCTGCCAGAACATGTTTGTGACGCTGTAGGTGTCAGTGAGTCTGCTGGTTTCTAGGATTTGAACTGTCACCGTCACACTCGACTCTGCCTCAGCATGCCCCAGTTACAGGACTAAGAAGTGGTCGAATGTGGTTTTAAGTCTGACAAATTGAAATGGCAAGCAATAGGATATATTGGAGTATATGAGGAAGCCATTTGGTGTAAACCTAATTTGGCCCGACTGTTTTTTCCAAAAGGGCCTGACTGTGGCCGTTGAGCACACATTGGATATCTGCTTTAAAACATTTCCTATGGCAGGAAGAAATGGCCTTAAGATAAAGGTGCAACTTCCCCCAACATTGGCGTTTCCTTAGGGATAAGCATCTTTCCTTAGGCTAGGAACTGATTGCTGAGCTCACCTGTGACCACCCAGCTTGAGACCGCAGACTGCTACCCTGCTGTGTTCACCGAGACGGCGGACCTACCTGCTGTTTCCATCAATCGCTGTGACGACAGAGCAGTCTCGTGACTATTGTAAAAGGGACATTTCAATCCTATGTGGGACATCTTCTCTGGGGATATGTGACCACTCTGTGCACCCCACTTCTTTGGTGCCCTTTCTTCCTTTGGGGGAAAAAGGCCCTGGGCCATGGTCCTCACATTTTAGCTCAGAATAAACTCATCCCAAATTTTCATTTATAGATTGGTTATGGATTATTTTCGTCGACAAATCCATGTCTGTTGGGCTAGGAAGAACTGTTTCATTTCCATTCTACCATGTCGTTTCAGGAAAACTGGCTCTGAGTGACAGCTCCACCATTCTGTAATGGTAGACTTGAGAAAATCACTTATCTTCTCAGTAAAGCGGGGCAACAAAACCAACTTCAGTGAGTTATTGTGAAGAGGAAATACACACGAAGTACCTAGTAATTCAAGAAATTTTGGTGAGGAGCCAAAGTATTGGGGCAGTGAACCTGTTGATCTGGCTCAGGGAAATCTGGTGAGGGTAGGATCAGAGCCGGCATCTTCCCACGCTTCTTCACATCTCTTTCACACCTCAAAACCAAAACATACACAGAAGGGCAAGGAGTGGGTCTAGATTTCTCCAAAAGGACAGTGGGCATTAGCTTTGTGGACTCTGTTCCGACGCTGAGCAGGGAGTTCAAAAGGAAGACAGTCCTTTGCTAACCACAGAGAGCTGAGATGCCCCAGGCACTGGGTCTGTGGAGAAGAGACTTAATTGGAGTCTCAGGGATGGCCCTCCACACGTGGAGGGGCAACTGGGTCTTCTCTCTGGGATCTTTCCTGGCCTCAGTGGCCACAGAGAATAAAGGTGGTGAAGAGGAGATAGGAGGAAGTGCTAGGTAGGTCCCAGTGTCTGTCCATCCATCCATCCATCCATCCATCCTCCTTTTAACAGTTATTGAGGCTTATTCCATGTTAGGCATTGGGCGTAGGGCTGAGCATACAGCATGGATCTCAAAGGTCATTGTCTTTGCAAAACCACTCTCAGGCTCTCTCTATCAAGTAATTCTGGTCACTTTTCTTCACAGAATTTTTCACTCTCTGAAATTACATTCTGTATTTTTATTGCATGTCTCCTCCGCTGGAACACCAGCTCCAGGAGAGCAAGGACCTTGTTTGTCTGGCTCATAGATCGGTTCCGGGCACTACCACAGTGTCTGGCACACAGTGATCGAACAAGCTGACTTCAGAGGGATTAATGGCGCTGACCCAGTGCAGGGAGTTCAGGAACCATATTGTAAAAGTGGCAGAGGGAGCTTCACCTGGAGAGGAGGCTGTACTGCTCTGGTAATCTGGTGGCAGCTCAGAGGTAAGCTACTGGTTTGGTAATTGTGATAGACTTTCTTACCCTTCCCTCCCCACAGTCTTTTCCCTGTAACTGTGCAGGACCCTCCCACCTGGGTTTTGGCTTGGCCGTGTGCCTTGCTTTGGCCCACGGGAAGTTAGCAAAAGGGATGCAAACAGAGACTTCCACAGCCCCTGCTCACTGGGCTTGCTGCTCTTGTCCTCTGTCATCACTCGAGAACATGCCTGGGCTCCTCTGTGTAGGGATGAAGACAGCAGAGTGGAGTTTCCTCAGATGTTCCAACTGAGATCACCCGGGATCCACTGACAGCTGGCTGACCGAGGATGTGCGAATGAGGCCACGCAACGCAAGTGAGTGCAGCCCGGATCCCACAGACTGTGCACCCAATCACATGCCACTTCAGCTGCATGCCACTGAGGTTGTGTAGATATTTGTTATGCAGTGTTATTGTGGCCATAGGTGACTCATGCGGAGCTTTATAAGGGGGTTATAGACGCTCTTTCCATTGGTCTTAATTATAATGGTAATAGTAGTGACAGAAATTCTAATCATTAGTTACTGTTTATTGAGTATCTACAAACTGGGCCAGACACTGTTCTAGGAACTTGCCATGTTTTATTTCTAATCCTCACAGCAAGCTTACAAGGTGGCAAAGTGACAAGACCACCACCACTTCTGCCACTTAATGAGCTGTGTACACAGATATGGGACACAGATGGCCTGGGGTCACACTCGGGCTTCACCTCCCTTCTAGTTTTGTGACCTTGGGCAACATTGAGGTTATACTTAACCTCTCCGTGCTTTAGTTTCCAGATATATAACATGGGGACAATAATAATGTCACCTTATAGAGCTGTGTGAGGACTGAATAAGGTGACACATGCTGTGTTAAAGCAGTGCCCAGGACGCCATTCTCGCCAATGTCACTGTTATCATTATTATTATGAGGTGACAAGCCCTGGGCTAAACATTTTATATTTATGCCCTCACTTCATTCTCACAAAACCCAGGAGAAGGGTCTTATTAGCTCCATTTTATTGAAGAAGAAATGGAGGGTGGCGAGGTTAGTACTCACGACCACCCATCTGAGAGATGCTGAGTCAACAGAATCAAACCTGGAGGGCAAACTAGTTCCCCGGGCCGCCGCCTCTCATTGATCCCGGCTGGTTTTCGTTCCCTCTGCCTGGGAAGGGTTCCCTGAGCCTCTCACACCAACCTAGACTCCGAGAGGCCCTGCGGACGAGGCGGCTGCTTTCTCTCAGGCGGTCTTCCCGTCTCCCTCAATAGGAGGTGTTCAGTGGAGTGTGTGGGAGGCATGTGCTGGGACACACCTGGGTGTAGACTCTTGTGTGTCCCTGGAGGAAAGAGCCTTGCACAATGCTCCTGTCCACTTCTGCCACTATCCCCTCATGGGACCTGGAACCCCTCCCGCTTCTTGTCTGCGTCCATTTTCCGCTGCTCCCTAAAGAGGATTGCATCTTCCTTCACTGCCTTCCTTATGGGGCTTCCCCGGGACTCAGAACACAGAGGGTGAGTTGGGTCTTGCAGGGCTCCGTGCTCTAGCTGCAGGGTGACCCTTTGCCACCTGCAGACTGAGTCCTGCTTGTGCGGGGACCGTCCAGGCCTGGGGGAGCACAGAGGGAAGCCCCAGGTTGGGCAGTGTTCCTGCCCACGTGCTCGAAGCATGTCTCCCTGCCGTGCCCATGCAGCCCTTCCTCTGCTGCATCCCAGGGCTCCCACACTCCTCCCTCCCGGTACTGGTCACCTGGAAATGCCGCCGTGCACCTGTTCCAGATGTGCGGCTGTGCAGCATGCAAAGTGTGCTTCTAGTGTTTTCTGTTCTGTCTTTTGGTATAGTCAAAAAATTTCTGAATGAATATGTGCCCACATTTTAACAGTGAGGGGTGGGATAAGTTTGGGGGGGCCTTTTGATTTTTACTCTACACTTTTGTTTTCGGTTCAGGTGTTTCCCCGTGGGAATGAGAGCCGATGGAAGGCAAGGATGAAACCAGGTCCTCTCTGGGGCCTCAGATCGACCCTGGCATCGAGAAGGCACTCAGGAAGTGTTTGCTGAATAAATACATGAATGAAAGAATGTCTGCAAACAGAACTTTTCCTTTCTTTTCTGTGACTAAGGCCCTCCTTGTACGTTACATCCACTGGCTGAGTCTCTGAATTTTCCCCATGAGTGCGAGTCTCTGCCTAGGTAAGTTGTCTGGCACGTCAACCTGGCCCCTGCCTTCTGCCATCATAACTTCCTGGACCTGCCTGCGTGTCGCGCTGTCTGCGCTCCTGGAACCTCCATTGCTCAGCCTTGCCATGTGTTACCTGTGGGGTCCTCCCTGGCTGATATACCCCTCCTGGGAAGAAGAGTAAAGAGGCAGGGCTTAGGAGTATGCTGCACAGCCTTCGTATCAGAAGGGAGGTGGAGCCTTCACACCTGGCCTGTAACTGTGAAAACCATGAGACCCCAGAATCTCACCTCTGTGACTCTCTCCTTGTTGGCACCAACTATATGACACTTTAAATGCAAAGACCTGTGGGTTCATCTTCAGAGGCATCGTGGGAACAGAGTAGCTGGGAAGAACCTTACCCCCTTACAGCAGGGCTGGGTGGGGCGCCAGGGCTGGCCCAGGAGGAGAGGCCCCTCAGGGAACACCATGGGTGGTACCAGTTTCAGAGAGGAAAGAGAATGAGATTGAGGCCTCCTGAGGCCTGAGCTGAGAATAAACCGGGGGTGTGAGACCAGCCCAGTCCCAAGAGAGAAGCCTGGGGCTGGACAGGGAGAAAGCTGTGGACTCCAGCATGCCTCCTGGGATTGAGACCTCCTCTCCTCACCCTCCCATCCTTACCCTTGTCCTGAGGATGAGACCCAGAGGCACAGCCTGGAGTCCATTCTCCCACGCAGGAACTGCTCCCCATCCTCTACGGCCTTCCCTTGGAAGAGGAGCGCTGGGGTGCAGCTATTTCACTTGGAAGCTCTCTAGCTCTGGGAAATTCCCTTCCCTCATCCATCCATATATAGGCTTGGTCTGGGCAGTGAGGAATGACATGTATGGGGTCCAAACAGTGGGGTTTAGGTCTTTGTTTCCAAGCAGTGGGGTTTAGGTCTTTGTTTCCATAGTCACTAAGGAACAATAGACACCGGGGGAGTGGAGAAGGGAGGGAGTGAAATCACAATGTCGTAATAGGATGTTCTCAGAGGAGACTGCATTCCCTGCCTCAGACTCACAGGAGACGGCAGAGATTGGGCCATGATCGATGGCAACAGCATTGCCACTCCAATGTGGGGATGACCCCTGGCTGGCTGTGGTCACCCGGGCAGTCCAGATAGACTTGAGCAAAAAGACAGAGTTATAGGTGGACGATCCTGCTCCTCTCAAACGAGGCAGAGTTCAGAGAAGAGGAGGGACCTGGCAGTGCTCTGTAATGGAAGGAAATGGAAGATAATTTCTCTCTGATACGTTGCGGATGCCGAATGCCCCTGGGAGCGCCTAGAAGAGGCCTAATTGCCTGATGAAGTTAATGCACCTCTTAGACCTGGAGAATGATGGGCTTCCCTCCTCTGTGTTGATTTGGAGCAAGGGCCTTCTCTAAAAGAGTTGACAAAATTGCACCCATAAGTCTTTGCTTTCGTGGCCACTTTAAACTACTCTGCATTGCCTGGTTTTGTCTAGCCTAGGGTTTTAAAACATTTTGAAATCACAGATTCTCTATAATTTAAAAAAGAAAGGACAAAAAAAAAGATTCTGATGAGCCTATGGTAATAAACAAGATTTGCTCTAATTTAGAACCCGGTTGGAGGAAACGTTTAAAATGGACATGTGGAGATTCTGCATTATGGAACTGAGGAAATAAGCACAGGGTGGGTTTGGGGAGACGGACATGAGTCAAAACGCCACTGATCGCCTGACCTCCATTAGGCCCTATTCTGACTGCTGGACAACAGTGACCTGTCGGGTCTCTTGGAATTTGTATCAGTTTAGAGAGAATGTCCAGTAATCGCTGAGAAGTCTGCTTATTTCCTTTCCTCCAGTGCATAGTCACCCTAGTAAAAGGCTGTAGGTCCTTTTGGGAAGGGCTGGGAAAAAGATGAATGGTATAAATTTTTGGCAGTGTAGCACGGTCCTTCCTCAAGGGAACTGGCCTTCATTCAAGGGGCTTGTGTGTGTAAACTGGCTCAAGTTGGGAATTGATTGAGGGGCCATGACTCTGTTTTTGATGATTCAGATTGGACTTCTGTTTATTCTGCCTAGAACTCTTCCGTGTATGCAGATCAAGTAAAAATTTAGTAGACTGTCAATCTGTTTCTCTTCTTAAGGACATCGTGATTCCATTAGCTAGCACCATAGTTCTCTGTGAGTCAGACTATTCTGGTTACTGCTTTGACTCTGACGTCCACTGAGGTAGCCATGCCCACCTTCTCTTTGGTGATTAGGTGCTGCCACTTGACCCCTGCCACCCTGGGATCCAGTTGCCCCCATTGCATCTAAAGATCCCAGTTCAGTGGCCACGGTTCCCATGGTAATATCTGACCTACAGAGAAGAGTGACCACAGAAGACTTTAGACGTGCTGGGGCTCCCCCAACACATTTGTTTCTCATGGTTGTGGTGAAGTTCTGTCCTCTGGACCCTTTTCGGTTGGAGGAGTAGCTCTTGGGTGACAAATTCACTCTAACATTCCAATCTTCCTAAGCCTTTGCATATCTTCTTCTCTTGTGCACCAAGGTAGTTCTGGCATTTCAACTTCCTTTAGTCTAGGTCACCTATGGTCCATGTTTCAGCCAACCAACCAAAGTGTTAGAGCCCTTCCTAATGCCACAGCTTCACCTCTGAACCCAGCATCTCTGCTTGGTGGCTCCCTATCATAATTTGGCCTGATCCAACTTTATGTTCTTTCCATCATTATCCCACACCCTTCAAGTCCATTCCCACCTGCGATCCATACGTTCTGTATGAATAAATTGGAAAAAGTTATAATTATTGATGTAGTAGATTGGGAATGGTAGATGTAAGGGTTCTAAGGCTTCTTTCCTTTTTATATTTCTTTGTTTTGGTCATAGAAAAGCAAATCTAGTGAACTGTGTCTAGAGCCGCAGTGGAGTTCATGGCACGGCTGGTGTCTATCGTGCCTGGAAACAAGCGCTGATTTAGAGGGGATTAGAGCCATTTGGAGAGCGAGGATGAAACTGGAACTCACTTCAGAGATAGCATCTTCCTGCAAAGTTACTTTAAAAAATAATAGTTTCACACAATATGGCTAAAACCTAATTTGTTTTGCAAAAGAGGAAATCGAGTAGGGTGACATTAAAGCATGAGTTTCCACAGCAAGTACATGTTCAAATGCAAGTATTAGCTGTGTCGACTCAGGTCAATTTCTCATCTGAAAAAGTATGATTTTTATGGTGTACCCATGTATTGATTTTCTAGGACTGCCATCACAAAATACCACAGACCGGGTACCTTAAACAACGGAAATTCATTTTCTCACAATTCTGGAGGCTGGAAGGGTTGGATTCCTCTGGGGCCTCTCTCCTTGGCTTGTACATGGCTGCCCTCTAGCTGCTTGTCCACATGGTCATCCCTCTACACATCTGCATCCCTGGTGTCTCTGTGGAGTCTTACCTCCTCTCCTTATAAGGCCACCAGTCATTGGTGGGCCCTAAAGGTCTCATTTTAACTTAGTCATCTCTTTAAAGGCCTTATCTCCAAATACAGTCACATTTGGATGCACTAGAGGTTAGGACTTCAACGCATGAACTTGGGGGAATACAATTCCCACAACTCACCATACAGGTGGGGTCATTGTAAGGATTATCTACATGAAAAGGGTCACACAGAAATTCCTTTAAAAAAAGTGATAAGCATTTTTACTCTTCTCAATAAAAGCCCACAGGACCCTATTTAGTTTATGTAAGATGTGAACCCAGTTTGAAAAAGTTCAGTGTAGTCGTTTTATAAGTGTGAGAAGTTTCCAGCATGCTCTTTAGTTCACTTCATTCTGCAAAGTCTGCAGGAATGAGCAGACTCCCCTCAGTCACCCTGGCTGTGTATTTATTGGATGAACTTGGGCTTGTGACAGCAGATCCTGACAAAGCTGTTCCAATGACAACTGTTAGGAAAAGGCTGCTCCACCATAGGAAGGGAATAGATAGGACCTAAGGAGTGTCAATTTCTCGAGGAAGAAATGGGTCTTTGGACAAGAAACCAGAAGTGCAGAAGTGGGCCCAAGGACTTGCTTTGTACTTTGGGGAATGAGGAAATCTAAAAATTCACTCTTGGTAATGAGCTGTTAAAGGTGGTATTCTCCTATAGTGGCCCTCTGGGCAGTTATAAGAGAGAGACCCTGGTAGGGGCTACCTCCTGAAGATGAGAAAGCAATAACATAAACCAGTGGATCCAGAAAATTCATGCACTTTCCTGTTTATTCCCTTACCCAGCCCATAAGCTCTGGGAAAGGATGATCTCAGTCTTTCTGCCTGTTTTCTCTGCATTATGGGGCGGATCCATGTCAGCCTCAGCTTTCCTTCCCTGCCCCTCTGCCCCAGTTTGAGAAGGAGAGGATGGACTGGGACACTGGTTCTGTTTCTCAGCCAGGGCTGTATGGGGCCACCTGCTCTAGCTTAGCCACACGCACTGCTCCTTCCCTGAGACCTCCTGGGCTCAGACCCTCAGTGGGGCTGCATCCTCCCAGGGGCGCTCGCAGTGGGGAAGTGGTACAGCTCAGGTCCCACTTGTCTTCTTTGGCCAGGCTCTGCCGTCTCCACAACAGGCCCTCCCAAGTCTACAGGGTGCTTAGATTTTTATCAAGTATTGGAGGAACCAAGGAAAATGTGACACAGGAGTAGACAAGACTTTAGGCTATACACCAAATATGAATTCTTCCCAATAGAGCTTTAGGGGACTGGCTCCCTAGAGAGAGTGTGTTTTGGGGAAGGCAAAGGGAATTAACACATTTAAGGCACTTAATATGCACTAGTCATACTCATGAAAACTTATGAGAGAAGTGGTATTGCTCCCTTTTTATAGGTGAGGAAATTAAGGGCGGGAGAGTTCTGTGACTTGCTTAAAGCCCCGCTCTGGTAAGCCAATGAGCTAGACCCTCAAACGTGGTCTCTGTGACTCCAAATCCTGGACTCTTTCCAGGGCTTCGTACAAGACCTCAGAGGGCCCAATCCATTCCTCTTCTTGTCCAGCTTTGTCTTGGTGCCCTGCTGTGGCTGGTATCTGCTTTCATCCTGGGGAACCCGTACCACCATGGCCATGCTGGGTGACGGACTTCAGCAGCAGCCATGAGCTGTCTCAGGTTGGCTGCGTGCTCAGCATTTTGGAGTGGTTTTGCGAGCTTTCATGAAAGCCCATCACAAAAATTGCAGCAACACCTTCCCTTGTAACATATGCTATTGGGATGTCAGAGTGATCGCACGTCTCACACTTAGTATATTTTCAAAAAAGAGTCTTTTTGAAATAAATACTCATCCACTTTGAATAAACAACTCTCACATCCTTTGCTTCCTTTCCAGCCTCGCCTCCTCCGCTCTGGCTCAGCCTGGTCATCTCTCTTCTGCTTTATGTCCACACGCTTCCTCTTGGTCTCCCCATATCTAATCCATCTCCATCTTGTCCATTTTCCTTCTCCACAGCCAGAGTGACCTTTTTAGAACACAGATGCAGCCATGCCGCCTTTCTACTTGAAAGAGAGTACAATTCTCCATTGTCCCCAGGGACAGTTCTGAACCTGCTCAGGTGGTCACAAGGCCTTCATGCATTTGCCCCTTCTCCACGCAGTTTGCACATTCCAGCCTCACCAAGCTGTGCCGTCCACCTGACATCAGGATCTTTCAGGACGCTCTTCCTGATGGCTCTTCCCTTGCTTGATGGTTCTCTTCTCCTGCCCCATCGCTTGTTAAAACGTTTCTTTCCTGTATGAATTGGTTCAAACATCACGTCTTCTGTTGAAGTTTTCCTTGGTCGACTAGATAAAGTTAATTGTTCCTTAATGCAATTTTTGTGCATACTTGCATTAGAAATGACTCTCTATTTTACTATTTATACATCTGCCTCTTTGAAGCAAGGGACCGCCCTTCTGTTTTATATGCCTCAGTGTCAGAGTTTATATTTTGAGGAACTGCTCATTGTCAATTTCATTTATATTTATTGTATTTGGGCCATCCACACCATAACACGAGCAATGTATCCAGTAGAACTTCTGAGGGGGTGGAAATACTCTGTATTTGTGCTGGGCAATATGCAGGCCACAAGTGGAGTACACTAGCACCAAGCAAGAGAACGGGAGATTACTGAAAGGTCTCAGGTTCTTCCTGTATTAGCATTACCCCCATTCGTTTGATTAACGCATATTTTATCTAGAAACACTGCAAAGGGGAAACTCTCCTTTACTCTTTTTTTTCCCTTAAAAAAAGATGTAATTAGTGTAGTTTTAGAATGCAACATGAATTAATGTAGTTTTATTTTTATTTTATTTTATTTTATTTTTGAGGAAGATTAGCTCTGAGCTAACATCTGCTCCCAATCCTCCTCTTTTTGCTGAGGAAGACTGGCCCTGAGCTAACATCCGTGCCCATCTTGCTCTACTTTATATGTGGGACGCCTACCACAGCATGGCTTGCCAAGTGGTGCCATGTCAGCACCCGGGATCCGAACTGGCAAATCCCAGGCCACCGAAGCTGAATGTGCACACTTAACTGCTGTGCCACCAGGCTGGTCCCGAATTAATGTAGTTTTAGAATGCTTATATCTGAAGCAAAGTCTTTAAAATTAAGATTCCTAGAAACAGAAGAATGAATTCCATCATGAATGGAAGTCTTATACACGTCTGTGCTCAATGAAACCACCCAATTTTCAGAGTTTAGTGTGGGGGACTGGAATTGGCCACCCCAAGATATGTCTCTTTGGCATGAGGATTATTTTGGGCTAGTTACTTTTAAAAACTGCAGACTGGAAAGAAACTCTGAAAAGTAGAATTTACTTACCCTTTGTTAAGAGACATTTACATTTGTAAAAGAAATCTCCATCTGTAAAGGTGTCTCCCTCTCTATACCAGGAAGAAGGGGGGATGGCCTTATCTCTACAAATTCTCATCAATGTGAAAGGCAAGGACTCAAGTCTGCATAATAACCTGACTCCTGTTTACTGTACTTGTCTAGTAACCTCCCATAACTGACTTCTCCCACCCCCAACATCCTCCTTTGTCTTTAGCTGAGGAGGGTATTTAAGATGAGAACCTCCACCATTTTGGTGAGTTACCCAGTTTCCCTGAGTCTCTCCCATGTATACATGTTATAAGGCTTTGCTTAATTTTCTCCTGTTATTCTTCTCATGTGAATTTAATTCGTTTCCAGCCAGAAGGACACAGAGTGGATAGAGGAAATGTCTTCCTCCCCTATATTAGCTTTTAAGACAAGTTTGTAGTTCACTAGCTCCATGAAGCATCTTTCTGAAAACATGTTTATGTGGAGACATTCTTCCAACAAATTAGCAAGCTCTGCATGTAGCTTGACTGTAATTATTAGCCTGATTTTCTTGATGTCTTCCTTTATTTGTGTAATATTGAATAAATCCTGAGCTTACTCATTGGATGGCACATCATTTTGCCTCAAATGTAAATCTTAGGAATCATTATCTTTTGCCATAGTTCCTATAGAATATTGCAATTTATTTACTTCACGATGGTTTGGTTTTCATCATCATTGACATTTCATTCCTTTTCCATTTGACATACATTTATTTACTGAGGCCCTCTAGCTTGTGGTGTATGCTGGGGAGAAAGATGAATCAGTTACTGGGTCCTCTAATGTCCACACTCTGGAGGGAGAGACAGACAGACAAACACAGGCCACACAGTATGACTTCAATTTGGCTGAACTTCTCTGGGAGCATTGAGGAGGGAGTGATTCCTTTTCCTTGGGAAGCTGGGAAAAGTTTCTCAAAGAAAATGTCACTTAAAATCACCTTGGGGAATGAGCAGAAATTCACCAGCAGGGGTAGAGCATTGAAAAATGAAGGGTTGACCTGAAAGAAGTGTTGGGGCTGGAGTGTATATGGCATGTGGGAGAAGAGTGAGGGGTTTGGTGAGGCTGAGGCGTGGGAGCAACAGCATTACGAATGGGTTGGTGAAAAATAAGCGTGAAAAAATTGGTGAGAGTCACATTTGAGAATTACTATTAGATAAGTCTGAATATTTTGACTTTTAGGTAAGAAATCCTTGCCATTAATTTTAAGGACAGGTTATTTAAGCAGTGCAACTGAAGTTTTATGGATTTTAGAGTTGTAGAGACCCGGGGCTGAATCTGTACTCAACTAGTTAATAACATAAAGTGGTGACAGTTGCTTAACCTCTCCATGCTCAGTTTTCTCCTATGTGAACTGTGGCTCTTCCCTCTGGAATGCTTTTCTTTACATACCTGCTTGGCTAATGTCTTTACCTCCTTAAATATTACTGCTATGGTCTGAATGTTTGTGTCGCTCCAAAATTCGTATGTTGAAATCCTAACCCCTAAAGACGATAGTATTAGGAGATGGGCCTTTGAGAGATTCTTAGGTTGTGAGGGTGGAGCCCTCACGAATGAGATTAGTGCTTTTATAAGAAAGCCTCCAGGGAGGTACCCAGCCCCTTCTGCCATGTGAGGACGCAGTGAGAAGGGCCAGCTATGAACCAGGAGGAGGGCCCTCGTGAGAAAGTGATCGTGTTAGAGTCCTCATCTTGGACTTCCTGCCTGCAGAACTGTGAGAAATAAATTTCTGTTGTTCACAAGGTACGCAGTCTGTGGTGTTTTGTTAGAGCAGCCTGAACAGACTACAACAGCTACTTTCTCAGGGAGGCCAGCCTGGCTCCCTAAGGAAAATTGCAACCTGCCCGTATCAGTCATTTCTGAATTCTCTAATCTTGCTCTACTCTTTTTCTTTATTCCTCATAGCACTTGACCACCTCTTATTACACTCTACATTTGCTTATTTCTCGCACTCATTCTTTATCGTCCTCCCCACCCCGGTTAGAATGTAGGTTCTAGATTTTTCAAATACAGTGTGACCAGGGACTGCTCTTATTTTACCGTCAGTGCTGTTTATTGGGCAGTGAACACTCTCCCTCCATTTGCGTTCCACCTGTTGAGCTCCCAGACACAGACCTGTGTCTATGATCTCTATTCCATTCCATTTGTCCATCTGTTCCAGTGCCACCTCACTTGATCCTTAACAGTTTTATAACAAGCCTTCATCTGGTGAGGGCGGTAACCCACTCCCCGACCTTGTCGATTTTCTTCACAATGGGCTCAGCCA